TTTAAAAATAGTTTTTATTATAGCACTGTGGCCCGGCTTATAAATGACGTCACCCGACCATTCTATACCTACGCCCCAAAATCTCTTTAAATAAATATTTTTTTTTTAAATTTAATTTTGACCAAAATAAATAGTTTTTAATAGCTCTGTTTAAAATAATTTAAAGAATACATTTTTTGTGTTTTTCGCATCATTCACTTGATTGCTCTCATGTAGACTCGATAACGAATCCAGATCAGTTATCAGAAGTATTATTGTATTATTAGGTCGATCTGCAGGATCTACTAAAAACACATAATATCTACTTTTAGCCAAATCAAGCACTGTTCTTTGTGATGCGACGTCCCTAAGGTGCCTTGTACGTACGACTGCGTATGCACCATGTATTGTGGAGATTCGAATGGAATAATAATTTTCTACACACAAAGTCTCAAGTCATGCAGGTACAAGCTTTAAATATTACCTATACTAAACTCCACCGATTTCCTTAAAAGAAATCTTTGTGTACAATGGACATTGGTCCATCGTATATAAAAATTTGCAATAAAATAAAAAATAATTCATCTTATAATTTATTTGTAATAAAATCTAACCCATAATAATCATTAACTGACATTCAAATCATTAAAACAATAATTAAATTATTTCCAGCTTATGGAAATATACCTGATTAGCATAATATTGTCATTTCTGTGTATTATTGGTGAAATTTTTGAAATTTTTTTTGAGTAGGTACTTAGTGTGTCACTGTTTTACTTCTGTATGGAAACGAACACTAAGTGAACGCTATAAATACTTTTTATTATTTTTGTTATTATAGAGCATAAGGCGCTTTTTCTTTGTTTGAGCCCAAATTTTTTTTAGAGACTCACATACATGTATAGGTATTTTAATAAATTTGAAAAAAACAATTTTATTGAGTGTGGCAAAATTATAGTAATAAAAATAATTGTGCAAAGGTATAATATTTTACCCCATTGATATGTTAACGTGATTACCTATAGCAAGATAACAATGACAACGTTTGCGTACATGCTTACCAGTTACCACTCGTATGACATTATATTTCCCGTTGCATCAAGTGGTAAAATAACTCGTCGGTAGAAAAATAGAAAACTGTCTTGTAAATATAGCTACCAGACAGGCGCGGATCTAGAAATGAAAAAAGGGGGGGGCTTAACAAAAAAATGTACTTAAAGTATATAAAAGCATGGGCATTTAGTTTAAGTTTTTTTATTCATTATATATGCTTATTATAAGAGATTATTTAATAATTATTAATAACAAAATTTAATAAATATAACAAATTAAATTGACCAATCCTCCGTTTTTATTCTTCTAGATGATCTTGAAAATATATATTAATTACTTCATCAATATTTATAGGTATGTTTTTATGAATGTTTAAAATAGCTAAACCGTTTAAACGCTCCTGTCCCATGGTTGACCTCAAATAATTTTTTAGGCGTCTTAATGAAGAGAAACTTCTTTCTGCACTAGCTGTAGTAACTGGTATGGTAGCCAATAAATGTAATAATGTTTTAATGATAGGAAAAAATTCATCACAGTGTTTTAATGTTTCGATCACCGTATCGGGTTTCATAGTTTGAATATTGTGCCACTTTTTCTTCCAGATTGATATTTCTGATTGTATATCCAATTTTTGACCTGACCAATCTTCACTATATATCATCGCAGCTTTAATAATATTTGATTCATCATATTTATCAATATGTGTAGGAATCAATCCTTCTAAAGGCATTACTTCACTTAACTTTTCATTGAACCTTAATTTTAGTTCGGAAATTAAATGATAAATAAAATGTAAAAAAATGGTTATCCTATACCATTCTATTGGATCAGTCGTTTGAATATTACATCGTGTTGTTTGACGTCCACATAAACGAGGTATTCTGATTTCCTCACCAACAAGAGCTGCCATATCAGAAGCATTTTTAAAATATGTTTCGAATTTGGATACAGAATTTTCTCTAATATCATCCATAACATCAATTACATTCTTAACATGAGAAAGCCCCTTCTACCTTTTTGCTCTTCCATTTCACCGAACGCACCGATCGTCATTGGCCTCCAAGGACGTGCCTCCGTCCGATCCGCGATTTTCTCGAAAGTCGTCGCGTACCTACACATCAGAAAATAAATGTATCCGCGTCCTGTCCCGGGATTTTGTACGAAGTCTTTCTTATTTTTTGAAATATCTTAAGTACCGAAGTCCTAGTCTAAGGGGGGGGCTTCAGCCCCCATAGCCCCCCCTTGTATCCGCGCCTGCTACCAGAGACCTATAAAAGGCTGTGCATGATGCGTCTATTTCTACTTTCTAGTGGGTCAAGTGTGTGCATAGTGAAGACTTAGCAGTAAATATGACGGTACCGCAGCTGGAAGATGAACTAGAAAACATACTTGGAGTTCGTCCACTCCATTTCGTGTACGCGACGCATTACATTATTGCTATTTCACGACTTCGCGGGTTTATTATTTGTTTCATTTTGTTATCGACTATCGCTTTATTAAATCATCTTATACCTTAAATTTGTTATATTTTATTTAATGTAAGTACTTTATTTGCTTAATTGTAATCATTACTAGTATTAGTGTATTATTACTATTTACTGTTATTAGTTATTACTGTGTTCGCACCTCGGCACCTCGCATACAATAATTCATTGGTATTAATTAATTATAAATATGCCAACTAAAGTGTACAAACAAAGAGTAACAAGTTAGGAAAAGTACTTATTCCCTAAAAAACTGTTGTCTCGACAATTTTCTAAAACATTGGTGATATCACAACAAAAAACACTTCCTCGATCACCGTGTAAAAAATGGCTAAAAAAACACATCTTTAAGCACTATAAAAATGCGATATCATAAATAAGTGCTAAGTAAATAGAATTAATGTACACTTATTTTGTTTCAATAATTCTAGGTGATGTTCTTGAAAATATTTTTATTACTTCCTGAATATTTTATATTTTCATTAACAGGAATTTCTTTATAAATATGTTTATTATATTACTAGACAGTATATTCAAATTTAACGTATCTGTCACCTGGCCTGGTCAGCTGGTTAGCGATCGCTGGTCTGTGTTGTAACGTGTCCAGTGTCCACCTTTAGCTCTCGAAATTAAATTAGAGTTATATTAATTAATAAAGATACATAAATTTACTTTTGTACTGAACTACTGAAGTATTTGTGTTAATAATAACGTTAAGTATAATCGTCAAGTTCTGATCTACAAGTACATATACTCTAGTCGTCTCTGATTGCAGACTCCCCGAATATGACTATGACTATCCTATTTAAGCTAACCGGGAGTTACCTTGTACTTTGTTATGATGAAGTCGGTACAATTAGAGATGTATTCTATTCCTAGTCTTCGCCTTTAATCTATGCTTACGCTTTCCTATAATATGGTTTTTACTCAAAGTCAACGAATGTCAGTGACTACATAATATATGCACATAACAAATATTATTTTATATATAGGTACTAATAATGAGGATCATTACACCTGTCGGCCAACGGCCGTATTATGTAATTTGGCCCTACATTATTTTTAAGAGTAAAATATGAAAACATACAAAAATTCATATTAATATTATAATAGTTATGATGAATTCTAAACACTGGATAATACACATTTTGTATACCAAAAACTAATGAAAATTCACATTTTATTTTTTTTATCGGCTTATTCTATTTTCGTTCCGATTAAAACCGTTCACGGGTATACCCACGCCGCCGCATTCTACATAGACACATATTTGATAATGGAAGAATTTTTATCTATAATACTTATGTGAAATGTTATTTAATTTAAATTAAAATGAGGCAACAGTTTTGAATAGCCTTTATTTCATCAGATAATAATTCATATCGGGTTGTATGGAAAGTAGTAAAGTAACAGACGTTTATTTATTTAAAAAAGATAAATTATTCTTTGCATAATATTTGGCATGGGTAACACTGGGTGGGACTACTAGGTATATAATATATATAATTATACCAAAATTATTCATATAAAAATCACTACTAATTTATAATATCCTAAATTAATTCTAAAAACTTGTTATAAATTTATTTCAATATATTCAATGAAAACTATATATGCGTGCGAATAGTATTTGAGTATTTCGATGATCTGGTTCATGTAAGATTGTTTATATTCCCAGTCCACTGCACAATATCTAATTTCGGTAAATTTTAAATGCATCATTTGTATAAGGAGGTATACCTATGATAGTAGAAAAATGTTAAATGCCTATTTTAATGAGTCGTCACTCGTCAGTCGAATATAACTATTACATACAAATTGAGGTTTACCATTTACCAGTTTATGAAATCGAATCCGTTTATCGAAACGTTTACGGGGTTAGTGATTTTAGTGTCACGGATAAAGTTTTATTTGTTTTTTAGTTCAAGCAACGACCTCAATGATCGAGCCCAGCACGCTGGAATCTGTGTAGACTATATTGTAATTACTAATTTGTATACTTGTAATCGAAATATGTTTTTACAAAAACCGTACGAACAGAAACACTTGAACTAGGTACCTACTAATAAGTAATAGGTAACTAATAAGTTCATTGATGTTCTGGGAAATTTTTTCATTTAATACAATCTTCCCGTTCTATAATTTATTTTATTATTTATATAACTCCGAAATTGGCTCAGTGACAACTACAATATTCCTATAAGTCACACAGTGACCACCGTAGTACAGAGCGCTGTGTAGCTGTGATTAGGTGAACACATTTGCGTGTTACTCTGCTGGTCACCTCCAATACGAGAGTTAGACCATACGTGTATTTTGATAAAACATTTTTTTTTCATAGACCTCCAAAATGTATTTTGCAATATATATTTATTATTTAAACATGCTAAATCTTGTATCTTGTTGAGAGCTAAATACTTTTTATTATTTTTAGGTTATTTGCGTTATGCGTATAGTGTGAATATTGAAGACTTCGCAGTAAAGATGACGGTACCGCAGCTAGAAGAAATAGAAAACCTCACAGCATTGGCAGTAGTTAATGATTCGAATTCGGCCGAGAAGCCAAATTTGAAAGGAGATTGGTTGAATTTTTTCCTGTTGTTATTACTATATACGATGCAAGGCATACCATATGGTTTAGCATTGGCCATGCCGATAATTTTGCAAAGTTACAAAGATGTGTCTTACAAAGATCAAGTAAATATCTGATTCAACTTCAAAAATTGCGAATCCGTGCGATTATTGTATTGTATAATATAAAAATGTAATATTGATTTGTATCCAAATCGATGGAATTGTATACTTCTATTACTCATAACATAAACATGGTCGTGTTTTGTTTCAGGCTCTATTCAGTTTTGTTCTATGGCCGTATAGCTTAAAACTGATATTGGCCCCTTTAGTAGACTCGCTGTACGTACAAAAGATGGGAAGACGAAAATCGTGGCTCATTCCGGTTCAATATTCAATTGGTGCGTAAATTAGCATAAATCTTTCCGTTAGGTATGAACGTTTATTCAAACGAGGAAGTAATTCTTTAGATTGCATTATGATTTGCAAAGGTGGGAAAGTTAATGAAAATGATTAACTCAACTACTCAAGTAGGTAGTCAAGTTAAAAGAACACAAAGTCGATAGATTAGAAGTTAACAATTAACAAATCATAAACATACATAATCGAATGTTATAGCATGATATATTTTTTAAATTAGCCTTTTAATCAGTGTTGCGACCTATCCATATGAAAATTTTGTTATCTATTATCTTATCCAGATGATAAGATTCACTTATCTATATTAATTTACCTAGATAATTGTTTATGTATAGACATGTATTTAATATTACAGTATATTATACATTTTTACATTTGTGTTCAAAACCCATACTAATGTAATTTAATATAATTTTATAGTACTTTTAAATAGTATGAACAAATTCCAAGGAGTCATAAGTTCATAAAATATAAAATATAGGTAATCACTTAGTTAACAAACAGAATAGATTTAAACAGTTCTGTGGTTAATATTCAATAATTTATTGTTGGCTACTCCGATAATATTTAATGTAGGTATATAATTATTTCTGATTCATTGTGGTGGCCGAAAAACACAACGTTTTACATAACAATAGCAGGTATTATAAATTGTTATACAAATTTTAATATAGCGTTTTTTTTCGTATACTGTTTTAAAAGAATAATTAATCTTTATTATATATAATATATTATATAATATTGCATTTAATACTAGGTAGGTACGTAAAGTGGAGTGTATTATAAAAAAAATTGGTGTTTCTCAAATAATTTTAGGTGACCTATCCCTTATAATACCTACACTGTTATACCGACCTATTAAATTTCCTATTTTTCTTCTATCAATACCCACCCACCCATATTTAAGGTGATGCCTGAGCAACACTTGGACCCCATATTACACGCCACTGGCGTACGTATAACATTTTGTATATATCGTGAAACTACCCACGAAAACATATTAATATACTGGTGTGTTTTATACACTCATTAATAAACATATTATTGCGTTAACGCAGGCTGTATCTGTCATTACCATTCACTTGTGTTCTTGTATCCTAACCAATTTATTATAATTTATAATATATATTTTAACGACAAGGTATTATTTTAAGATATTTTATTTTAACAATTTTAACTAATTAAATTCAATGTTCTTACCTACTGTGAATAAAATATCGAATAAAAGCTAAAAAAAATTTAAAAAAAAAATTTAAAACGTAGTTATTTTAAGCTAAAAATTGAAATGGTGTCCGTTAGTAAATAACATAATATAAGATTATCTTTGGACGAATAATTTATAAATATCATCCATAATATAATTAGGTATACAAATATATAGTACCATTAGTACCTGTTATATACAGATGTACTATATAGGTACCTACATATTCTATTAATTACTATAATTATTAGGTACTATATACAGACATATACCTGTATATTACTTTTAGTCATTACTAATTCATATTCTAATAGCATGGACGATTGTGCACTGTGCAGGAGGCAACAAGATTTTTTTCCTACTAAGGTTAGTATGATTTTGTTATGCGATTGATAACTCATTATTAAACTATTCGATGGTCATTAATATACGACTTGTTCGATATTAATATATTATAATTTATAATGACGGATTTTATTCTTAGTTATTTATTGCTCACTTCAAGTACCTATACAATATTCACAAATATTTGGCATCATCAACGTTATAGCATCATATATAAATAAACGGACGACAGATTCACGATACCAGAAGAAACAAGCATTCAAGCCAGAGACACCCAAATTCAAATACATGCTCCAGTCATAATAACCCATTTTTATTTTAATAAAACTACAATTTAAAATAACCACAACCGAAACACATCGTAACATTCAAATAAATCAGACACCTGAGTTAATTGTTTTGGTCAGCCCAGATAACACCCCTAAAAAATTGTGATCTTCTAACTTCTTTCTTATTCACAAATAGCAATTGTTAAACAAAAACTCTTATCGGGTGAAAAAGTGCAGAAGGAGTATTTATCTACGAGTGTGTCTAATGTTTTTGATTACAATATGATAAAAGTATAAAAAAAAGTTTGTAAAGAAATGTTGGTTTAGGGTGTCTATAGTCATTGGTTATCTCACTCATCGGGGTCAGATGTTAATCAGGAGTAAAAGTTAAAAAAAAACCCCGAAAAAAACCATTATAATATTAAAGACCCACATTTTATTGTTCGACTTTCAAACATTTGAAAAATTCTAAGATTGGAATAAAAAAATGTCGGCTTTTACTCATTGGACTAATAAGTTTAAAAGAAAGTGTAAGCTCGGTCTATATTGTAAATTTTACAGATGTCTTTATTAAAGTAAGTCGATATAATTTGACAGGTATATAATACGTAGGTATCTAAAAAGACGTCATACAATTTAAATGTTAAATATAATTATATATAGGTTGATAATATTAAAATATTAAATCTATGTTAAACTTACCTATAATTTATTTTGTTCTGAAGACCACGAGTTATTGCTGTACCTACTTGATCGATCACATATTTTAATAGCGTTTTTTGTTTGACGGGATGGTCCTAGCGGCCGTTATATCCGAAGAAGAAGAAGATGAAGATCTAATTTTTAATCTATTAGATGCTAATATGTGATGCTCTGCGCAGAGCTAGGAGAAAATATTTACCTATTTAAGTGCCATAAAATAATTAATCCCCATTAATGATACATCGTGTCTGCGGTTCAATCTGTGATCGATTTAAGATATGAAAATATATACTTATTATATTATTCTATCTATGTATACGATATGACCGTATCTGGACCAGACGACCTATGGAGGCTGTTATCGCGTAGTTAAATATAAGAGTCAGTTATAATCTGAGATTGAAATGTTCAGAATAAACCGTTATTTTTCAGATATATATGATCAAATTAAATATTATTAAATTACTATATTTATTAATGAAATATATATTTATATTATACATACCTATATGATATTGTGATTAAATACGCGTCATAAGTAGTAATAGATTAATTGTACAATATAATTAGGGTACCTATTAATTAATATTATTTATGTTAAAGAGGTCAAAGTCGATGCGTTAGAATTAATGTATTGTTTATTAGAATATTGTAATAGTTATAACTTATAACTAATAACATATTTTTTATTAAATATAGATTTTTAACAAATATAAATTCTTAATAACGGCCAAGTGCCAAACGTAAGTGTCCCTGTCGGAGGTCCAAGAGGTGCATTCCCAAGTTCTAATTTAGCATCCTGTGTTTTTTTAGGTCTATCATTATTGTTGCAATTGCCAACACTGACATTATTATTATTATGGTAAAACAACATCAATTTTAGGGTTTTTAAAATATAAAATAATATAGCACCCCCGTTCTATAGGTCTAGTTGCGCCTATGTTAGAAACAGCAGTAACAACGGATTAGTAACTGTACCGAGATGATGCTAATTTTAAAACTTGAAGTATTGTATATATTTTAATTTTAATGTAACATCTTCTATTGGTTAATAATATATTAATAGGTATATTAATTTTTTTTTAAATGATAACATTTTATTTCGTTATTAGTTACAAGTAAAAAAAAGATTCTTTACACAGTTTTAAATATTAACATAACAAATTAAATAGGTATTTAAGAATACAAAAAATTTAAAACTAATACTATACTATTACTATAGTAATTTAATACTATTTGTATTACACACATTATCACAGTAGTAGTATTGTCAAAGCAACCAGTACTTAATTAGTCTTAGCTAAATCAGAATTTTCCAATGGACAGACATCAAGGATACAGAACAATTGACGACAAAGTGGACAGGTACATTTTGATGATAGCCATATGGTTGTGTCGTTTTGAGGTTGCCTTGATTCATACCTAAAATCAATATTAATTATAATTTTTACAATACAATAACATGTTTTTTCTACAACAAGGTTTTTCTTACCACTTATCCATGCAATAAACACGCCACATAGGTCTGCATTGACACGAAGTACAATTTACTATGTCATTGCTATTTTCACAACATTTAGTAAGTTTAACATCCGGAGGATTCACCAAGAAACCAGCACATACATCGTCTTCTAACTAATAATAATATTACATTAATAAAATTAATAAAATTCAATTTTAATATATTTTATCAAGCACCAAATAGTAAACTACCAACACTTATAACTTAGTATTAGTTGAAATTAATTATGAGTGGTTTTTTTTTTATTACCAAAAATTTAAATTACTTAAAACTAAATTAGATTGAGTTTTTTCTACAGAATGGTCAAATTATTTCAATTTTTTTAAGCTTTACAATTAATATAACACTTTTATAAAAATTATATCTAATAGTATAATGTGATTATTGAAATATTGTGAATTGAAACCTGAAAAACAGACTCACAAAAACTAAATATTCTAACCCTGATAAAATGTTTTATATTTATATATTCATTTTTATGTTTAACATATTATTATGCGTTATATTTTTAGGAAAATATAAGTGATTAAAATCACATAGGTATTTAGAATATAATGCAGCACAATTTGGTTATTCATGATTTAAATATTTAGTAAATGTATAGATCTGAGGTCAGTAATGAATCATAAGAACAAAATTTCATCAAGTAAAATGTATTGTTTGAAACATACTTCTGCTGAACTATAACCATTATATACTGGATTTTGGGAAACTTGATCACGAAATACTTCAATGAATCGTTCAGTTCTTGAGCGCTGTAACTTGACATTATCTGCAATCTGTATAGGATGGCCAATATGTTCTTCTAGTGTCTTAAAGTCTTCAGACCTTATTTTGTTCAAGGAATCATCATAAGTGTACTCATGAATTTTAACGAAAAACATTAAAATTAATTAATCATTTGAATTACCTAACAATAAACCATTTGATTTGAGAACGAATTGGTATCACTTGAATGTTGATGAACTGTACACTACCTGGAGTGCCATCAGGTGTAGAATCATGGTTATCTGAACTGTACACTAAGAAAGAACTTTCCGATTTCTTGGAAACATAAACCCTATAAGGTTTTATCGATATTATCCAGTTTTCAGTTACGAGTTCGGAGTTACGACTGTTCTATTTATTGTACCATAGGCCAACGTCAATTTTTGAAGACTTCAACACAAAATATAAATGACAAAAAGTATATTATTAAAAAAAATAATATTAAATACATTTTAAGTAGGCACTTAAACGGAATATTTATATAATTAATAATTATATATAATATATGTTAATTTATATAGTATAGAATATAGTTAATCATACCATTGATACTCGGTTGAAATGTTCTGAGCTATAAGTGTCCAATCAACAGAACTGTACCGACTCAAAATAATTGATAATGGATGTTTGGCCCAATTATTGGGTTTCCATTTAACCACTACTATTTCAAGACTACAAGCGATGGGCAACATTGACAAAAGAATCAACTCATTAAAGTAGACACTCACAAATGCTTTTTCATTGTCATTGACTAGCAGTGTGCCTAGTAAATAAACTGAAAAAAATGCACACATTTAGATGAAAAATTATACACATATTTATGATTATGTTTTTTATAATGTATTCAATATAATAATATAACTTAAGTGTTACCTATACCAACCGAATGGCAGGCTCGAATGTACAACGATACTTAATGATGTTCGCTTGATGTGATGCATTATGAAATTGTTGTATTCTTTGTCGATCACCGAGTGAAACAGACTCTCGACGGTAAGACCATTGGACACAAACTCGGTAGTTCTGAGCACGAAACCAACCGAAACGATCATGTAGAACAGAGTGTAGACCAACAAGGACGTGTATTCTAACATCTTGGCAATGACTGACAAGGATGATTTACACTAAGAGACTTGCACAACACTGCATTGTAATATTAGATCATAGGTAGACAGACTAGAATCACATTTATTATGATGCGGAATTTTGAACAATAAAACTACATCACTCACGACTTACGCCGAAAGTTGGAGGTTTGTAATGAATGTAAATTTACTGCGATGTATTAATACTAAAACTAAATAGTATATTCAGTAAATATCCCTGACACCACAACCACCATACGGCAATATACATGGCAAAATAAATTTTGTCATGGGTTAGCACTTACCACTTAGCAAGGCTTGAAACCGAAAATATTTTTTCCGATTTCTATTTCGGTTCCGAATATTGGTATTTACTTTTTCCGATTTCATTTTTGGTTTTGAATACAGATATTGACACGGATGAAAAAATCGAAGCTGTATTTAATATTTTTGGTGAGCTGGTCGGTTGGTTAGACCCGGCGGCTGAAGCACACGCAAACTGCGATCCACCTCGTACGAGGTAAGACGCTTTTTCCGCGGGCTGTGCTGCTTTTGCCGATGATAAGACGTCCGCAGCTCGCCCCCTGGACGAAGACGACGAAATGGAGGGGAGGATACGAGAAAGAGCACGAACGGTTAGCGGCGGTAAGTTACCCGCGCACGTTCTCCGACCTGCGTCCGTGGCGCGACGTGTTCGCTGGCGTAGCGCGCTCGGTCGTCGATGACGCGCGAGAACCTCTGGCGAGCGCTCGGCCGCAATTACGGTCACGTGAACGATGGCACGACGGCTATAGTAGACAGTAGACGTACCGGCGCTGGCAACGATTCCGCCCCTATGATGACGATGGCGATGGCCGATGGGGCGACTCAGTACAGACTCAGACTCGGCAGCGGCGGAGACCCCGGCACAACGCCAGAATGAAAATTAATGAGAGTCAAGGATCGCTGTGATGTGATTCGCTGGCTCTAGCATTTTCGCCCCGCGGTATTCCCAAATCAGCCACTTCGCTCGTCCCCACCGGTTCCGCAGCACAGAATCCCACTTCGCTCGCTCCGCGTCTTGGTCTTCGCCGTCCGTCGGCCGAGACGCCGAGTCGTCATGCCGTCGACAGTCGACCGTCGTGAACAAAAAAATATTGTTTCTTTTTTTTCGTTTTGTCGGGTGTATAATCAATTGTTACAGATTTAACGACTAAAAAATCGTTAAAATAAATATTTTAAATAAAAAAACTCGTTAGTCGATTATTCAGAGTATAATGACCGTAGACCTGCAGTATAAACGTCACACGGATATTATAATATGTTCCAAGAAATATTCAATCCACCAAACACTAAGGGCGACGAGCCGACGAATGACTGCGGAAGCGGAATAAAAATAAATCATAAAATAACGCATTATACCGGCGGATACGACATGGATAGCTACATGATAAAGAAAAGTTGCCTTTATCATGGACAGTTATATAAACCATACAAGAATTGTAATTAATAATATGTATTGTGTAGAACGTGTGAACGTTAATATAGTCAAATAGTTGATACAAAATAATATTTAAAAAAATTCAAAATTGTATTTTACATAGGACAGGACTGGTAACGATAAGGCTGGAGGGTGGTAGAGGGCTGGATACCAAATGTTTTCAATAGGTACATGTGGGACACCTAGCGCTATCTAGTAGGCTTATAGCTCATCTACCATTACTTCTCTATAAATACATTGGCACAGAAAAATAAATTACATTGGTCTCATTGCATATTTTATATTCATTCCATTAGTAAATAGTAGAGTATTTAGGCTTTAGAAATTTACTTACTACTTACTAGAGCGTCTAGATCTACTGCTTGATTTATTTAAATAGTTACGACTATTTTCTACATTTGTGTTGAAATTATAAAATTAAAATGCCTCGCCAGTGTTCAGTATTTTTATGTACCACTAAGGAACGGTCCAATGTTCAGTTGTTTAAAGTTCGAGAATCGTGGGAGGAAATTATTAATGAAGTAAATGGTAATCATAAACGTAAAGTCACATACGTCTGTATAGAACATTTTAGGAAAGAAGATTTGATTAACAGTTATAGTGGGTGTAATGACTTGGAAGTAAGAAAACATAATTATTTGTATTTAGCCATTTAGGTAGGTACTATATAAGTACCTACTTGGTCATTATAAATTATAAATTATAACTCAATAATTCTATACACAGTTTAAAAGGAATTTAATTGGGCTAAAAATGATGCTTTTCCATCAGTATTTAATTCACCATTTGATATTCACAAAACAAATGATTTGCCTGCAGAACCTCAAGAATCTTGTACACTTGTTACTGAGTCATTTAGGAAAGAATTGTTTGTTGAACCCAAGCCTAAGAGATACCTACCTAACTTCATAGTTCATATGATTTATTAAATGAATCAAAACTGTGGTATGAAAGTTTATTATTGCCAGTTGGTTGGTCATTGTCTATATATATCTATGATAGTATCAGGGTTTGTTCAAGCCCGGATTAAGACCTTCAGGGGCCCAAGGGCCAATACACAGTTGTGGGCCCCCCATCAATAAAAACAATTCTTTAAAATTATAAAAGTAGGTATACAATAAAACAAATTTAAACCTTTTTATTTAAATATGATAATAATAATAATAAATGATAATTAATGAGAATACAAATATTAAAAACATAATTTTTTTTTTAATACATATTTACAAATAAAATTAAGTATTGTTTAAGTTTAAAATTTGAAGAACATCATTAATTTTTGTTGATAAAATCATTAATGATGACAAATTATCTTGTGTTTGAGAAGATCTATTTTTATTTTTAATTCTGGCCAACTTCGAAAATGCTCTCTCAGCAGTACAATTAGCAACAGAAATGGTAAAATATATTCTTAAAGCAATATGAATGTTAGGGAAAATATTAATAACATTACATTCAGTCATCCATTCAAATAACTTGAGTACACTGCTTCCATCAAATGTTGGTTCTAACTGATCCCAAAACTGCTTGAAATGTACTATTTCATACTTCATTGAATCACCATATCATCTTTATATACACTAATGAATTTGTTAACACTTTTCTCAACATCAATAGTAAACTCAACATGTAGCCTAGTTAAGAATAAAACATTTTCAACCACTACACTATATGCATTTATTCTTTTGTCCAGTTCTGAGCAAAATTTATCAACTATAACATGATGTGTTTCAACCCGAAATTTATCAATACTACTCAGGGGCGTATACAAGGGGGGGATGTGGGGGTCAGATCCCCCCAAAGGCCTTTTTTTAAATTTTATAAAATAGTGTTCTTAATGACTTAATGTAAGGAAATTACAAGGAAAAAAAATGGCAAGGATTTTTTGTAAATTTTTATTTTAACACAATATTCAACAATTAATTAAAAATAATTTACTTAATATTAATCAGTGATCAATGATCATATATTTATTTCATATTCATATAATCGTATTATGTGATATTTGATAATATGTATATTATATATACAAGACGTATAATAAATTATTATAAGAATAATAATATGTGGCAGACCAGCCACGGGCCGTCGCCACCGTCACCGATATCAACGCGGCGGAGACGACGCCCGCATGTCCGTGCGTATAATAATACATTTTCCTATACATTAGAAAAAGAAATATTATTATGGTATAATATAAGGTTATTGCACGATGGTTTTTACGCATTTATACCAAAACATTATCAATTTTGTATATTATCAATTAACATGGATATACCTACAACATACTAGCTAATAGCCATCAGTAATTTGTTCATTGAAAGCTAAAAATAGCTTAAATAATAAATATTATTGACTAAAAAAAAAGAAAATTAAATTTTGTTTTATAATTACTTGTAGAATTTAAAATAAAATGTATTAAATATATATGTTTTATCATTTATTAGGTATTTAAATGAGCACATACCTAGGTTTAGGTATTTTCGTTCCATAATAATTTGTTTGCAACTGATCCCCCCCCCCATACAAAAGTTATGTATACGCCACTGATACCACCAAGTAAAGTTAAAGTTTTATTGTTACCATCAGGAAATTTTTTTATAATTTTTCTTTTATTTTCATCTTTATTTATGATACTTATTTGGGAGCAAAACTCTCCAACCCTACGTTCATAGACCATGTTTGAATACCTTAAACTTGAAACAACATTTTTTAAACTTTTCAACAAATTCACAGCTTTTAAAATATCATTGCTTTTGCTTTGTAAATCAATAGCTGATACTTTATTACGATGTTGTAATATGTCATTCCAAAATAGACACAAATAGCCAGTTTCTTTTTTCAACATTTTCTTCAACAACAAATAAGCCTAAATAATTTCCATTGTTGTTGACTCCAAAAATTTCATGTACATAAAACAATATACAACACCTTGACTAGGAGAATACATTAACCATTGTCATTTACATTTCTCGCCATTTGGTAACTTTCTTTGAAAAGATGTTAGTGATAGATGCCTTGTGTGATAATTTTCTAAAATATAAAAATAATTAACAATAGTAATATAATAATTAATGTTCAAGTCAAAGAAATACTAATTATAATAAATATAATAATTTATATTTTAAACTAATATAATATTTATTAAACTTTTCTATATTCACCAATCACCTTTCTTTCTAGCTGACTTTTCAAGTGATGGTCTCTGGCTGGGTCGGTGGTGGTGACTTCCCACGGGTAGGACCGTAGGAGTGTCTAAAAAAATTATGAAAGTTAATAATAGAATACGCAATAAGTGGTCGTGATACAACATAACACACACTCACCCGGACAATTTCTTAATATGTGCCCAGTCTTTCGACACCTAATGCACCCTGAAACACAAATTAGGCGATACACCGTTTAGTATTAGTTACTCTAGAATTTGTATTTTGTATACTTACATCTACTTAATACGTTTATCTTTTTTCTTTTGGTAACGTTTTCGGACCCTACCGGAAGCGTTACCGATAACACCGTCCTCACGACGATGGTAGATAGGTGCATTATACACCTGTATACCACTCGCACTGTAATTGTGAATGTGTTTCGTAACTTTCATTCTAAAAATCAACAATGAAACCAATTAATATTAAAATTAGTCATTTTTGCTGACATTATGCCACTGTTGTGCCGTGACGGGTTGGCCATGTACAACTAATTATCAAAATGTCACGAGGCGGTTTTCAAACATTAGTAATGAGTTAAAGAATACAATTTTGCACCAAAAACAAAATCAGACACGTGGCCAACAGTAATCAATAATCATAGACTATGACTATAGAGTATTTGTCACCTACAGTGAACTCAAAAAACTTGAGTTTTTCCGCAGACAATATTCTACAGACGTGTTAGGTGGATACCCGCATATGTTGTCTCCGTCTTACACACGTACGGCATAGTTAATTTCCGTTTACCAATATTGTATGTAGGTATCGATAGTGTGCTATTAGTTCTACAGTAAATTGACTTATCATTGGACTAAATACTAAGGAGATTATCTATGTTCTCTCGATCGACATTTTACGATATTTAAATTTTTAAGCGAGTTATGACAGTTATGTCAAATATAAGACCATGATGCACAGATAATAGCTAATAGGTCAATTCACTCGATCACAACAAACAGCACACTATTTAAAGTGGTAAAATAAAAATGTATTCAAAGGTAGTTTGAACATAAATCATATTTCACCCGCAGAAATAAAACATAATATAATGAAAAAATATATATATAGGTAATTATAAAAAAGTTACGGGAAGGTTAGTGAATATTGGTAGTGAATTAACAAACACAATTATACACAAATTAGTCATGTGCCAAAAACAAAATCAGAACACATGACGTACAGTAATCATAGAATATTAGGTAAAGTTAATTAAACAAAAGCTTGAGTTTTCATACACATAATATTCTACAGACGTGGTCCAGTTAAGAGGATAAGCGCATAATATTATATTATCTCCGTCTTACACACGTGCGATATAGTTAATTTTCGTTCGACGGTTTCAATAGTGTGCTATATATTAGTTTTACGGTGAACTCAAGTCTCAACTATTAGTATTATTAATTGAAAACTAATATAAGAAGATAATCTGTGTCCTCTCGATCGATTTTTTACGACATTTTAATTTTTAAACGAACTATGTGTATGTGTAATGTAAAATATAAAATAATAATGCACAGATAATTTCCTAAAATATTTATAAAAACCAATTACGAACAGTGCACTATTTAATCTGGTCAACTAAAATTTACTACGGAATACGATTTACATTCATTCAAATGCACACGTGCCGATAGTCATACATTCAGGCATCATAAACAATTAAACGAAATTATTGTATAAACTATAAAGGGGTGTTTAAATATTGATCGAGATACAATTAAATATATTCTATAAGTATTAAAAAGTGTTTGAGCATAAATCATTTTACTCAAGCAAGTTAAACTAACATGAAAAAAAAAACCGGGACACAAGGCCAGTATAAGAAGGTACCTATAATAAGCAATTAAATTGAAAATTCGTTTACTTACTAGAACGGCGTCCAAACGTCAAATGAAATATGTCTAATATAGTAATATATGACTAATAAACTATAAAGATAGTAGACACACTAGACAGTCGGTAGGTATCTGAATTCTGAGTATCCACGACCGAGACGGTCACGTCATGAACAAATTTCCCCAATTCTATTTTTAAATACAGTGATAACAAAATATATGCCTATTCCTTATACATACAAACCTGGCTATGACGCTATGTCGCTATGTGTCCCCACTTACCATGCTATAGGTGGTAAACACGGTAGACGGGCCCACGATTAAAGATATACAGGTTGCACATCGCCCTATAGTAAACCGCTTCCAGACTGATTTACAAAGTGACTATAAAAATCAGCTGTTAATAATTAACTAGTGGCGCTTAATGTCAACACTCAACCATATGTGTCGACATTTAGAACTAATTTTACACCTATATATCTATAATCGGTTAATTGTAATACTGCCGCTTTGAGCGCCACTGGTTAATTATTGGTAGTCATTTCGTATTTCACCTTATCAGTAGTCGATGTGCAACCTGTATATCTTTAATCGTGGACGGGCCCCATCTCATGTTAGTTCAAACAAGAAAAAATAAAAAATAAAAATATTCTTGTAGGTACTATAAAAAGTGAAAATTATCACTCGATGTAATTTTAAGCCGAGAAGACTATGGGCCCTTTACACACGTGGGCCCCGGGGACTTGGCCCCCCTGCCCCCCTTAATCCGGGCTTGGGTTTGTTGTTGGTGTACCTATAACGTGTTATAAGTACCTAATGGATGTTGTGATATGATTAATTTGGAATTCATTATAGGTAAATTTTTTGTTTAATACCATAGATATGTATATAATTATAATATGTCTTAGACCTAGACTGACATACCGTCTCCGCTCAGAATCGTTTTTCTTATACAATGATATTATATCGTTGAATTAAAATTTAATATCATCCATTATACAGTGACCCACTTGTAACCTACTGTACAGCAGAGCGACACCCACTTGCCCACCTTTTTGATATTATTCCCCAAATTTATAAAAATGTCATATTAAAAAAGGTGGGTAAGTGGATGTCGCTCTGCTGTACACTAGGTTACAAGTGGGTCACTGTATAATAGATGCTATTAAATTTGAATTCAATGATACAATATCATTGTATAAGAAAAACGATTCTGAGCGAAGACGGTATGTCAGTCTAGGTTTAAGACAAATTATAAACATATCTATGGTATTAAAAAAAAAATTGACCCATAATAAATTCCAAATTAATAATATCACATTATCACGATATCCATTAGGTACTTATAACACGTTATACATAAACATCAATAACAAACCCTGATACTATCATAGATGGTATATAATAGTACACTTTAGAAGTTTCAAGTAGGTACCCACGAATAATATTATATAATCACAAAAAAATAACTAGGTTTTTTAATATGTAATTTCGTCCAAATTTGAACATAAAATGACTATAAAAATAAACTGTGATTGTATAATTTTTAGACTTTTTAGTAACAGAATTAACTACTTACGTGGAATATTTTTATAAATTTTCAATCCTTAGATATAAAAGTTGAACATTTTATAAATTTTTAACTACAAAATAATAATTCAATTTTAAATTTGATAAATTTTGTCAAAATTAGATCTTTAAATGATTATAAAAAAAAATGTGCCTACACACATAGAAATATTGGAGTTGATTTTACTTATGTGAATGTGTTGAATGTATGGATATTAATATAAGCTTTTAATGTGGTTTAAATAATGGAAACGGAGAGTTGAATTAAATAATATTGTTTAACAAAACTCATGTTTTAAATAACCAACAATTAAAAACATTTCAAAAGTATATTATATTTAGATCGACTTTTAGTAAGTAATCAGTTTTAGTAACTTTGTAGTTAATGTTATTTAAATTTAAGAGTTGAGTATACAAATCTTAAATTGAACTTTCTGTATCTTATAATAAATTATAAGGGCCGGTTGCATAAAGACCAGTCTGTAAATGTTTTCACGGACCTGTAACTTAATCACTCGTTAACTCGTTAACGGCTTGTAAAAAAAAAAATGAGTTTCATAAAAGATTATTATTATTTTGTATTTTATTGATAACCATAACTACCAAATAAATTATACCACATTTAATTTGATTACAATGATTGCTGATTATATTATTAATACTAATAAAAAAAAATGTGGCTGATAAGAAATTTTAATATTTCTTATCACCATATTTAACGGATCGTTAAAAGTTAACGAACCAAAATCGGACCTGTAGTTTACAGGTCCAATAGCCGATAATTTACAGACCCGTTAACGTTAACAGTCGTTCAAGCAACACCCAATTTTTTTTAACGGATCGTTAGTGCGTTAACGGCTCTGTAAATCGCTAATGAACGTTTATGCAACCCACCCTAAAAGTGTTAAAATAACATTTTGTATACCTAATGCAAACAACAGGTTCTATAGATAATTAATTTGATAGCTGATATTGTTGTTAAATCAACACCATTTGGTCTTGGTGTTATATCTGAATATCTAAAGGTTAAAGTGACGCTTGACTGCTTGAGTTGATAATAATAGCAATCTAAATTTAGATTTTACCACAGGAAAATTATTTTTTCCAAGTATAATGATTATGGACAGTTATTTCTTATTTATATCAATATTTCTATATTAATATAAAAATATGTTCGGCACTTCGGCGTGTTTTGTATTTTCATTTATTTTGTTACCACAATATCATCGTCCATTGATTTATTAATCATTTCTGCTCTCCGATCGATGTGAATGGTGTGTGAATCAGTGAATCTACTCTCCAAGTACTAAAATATAGTCGCAATGAGTTTGTTTCAAACTGACGATGAAGTAAGCGGTTTCGATTATTTAGTACCTAATCTTAATTTCTTAATTGTTAAATTAACTATACTATTCACTGCAGTTTATTTATCAACCTTTCGTGGATGCTTTGGAGACAGCGTCTTTACAGATTGTTCAGTCAAATCCACCAGTTTACGAAAGCGAACATAAATTACCACAGAATTCTTCACTTACAGACATATCATTTTACAACAAACCTAACCACAGTCCAACAACTGTGAAACGAGTAGAAGTTTTGCAGCAGGGTCATAGAAAATATGGTAAATACAAGCCTATGCAATGGACGATTGAAGTGAGTTGAATAAAATTAAAATATTTTCTAATACAATAAAAGTTAATCACAATACATTCATTAACAATTAATTAATTTTCTTCCCACTTTTATTTTCTAAAGTCTGTAATTTATATAAATGGTAATGGTTAAACATACACAATTATTAATTATTATAAAGTAAATTATTTAAAAAAAATTATTTGGCTAATAATTATTGAAAAATAACTGAATGTATTGTACAGAAATATTAGATATTAACATACCAATAGGAAATAATTTTTTATTCACTTGACATTTTAATAATTTTATTATTGTCTATTATTAAAAAATGTTGTTTATGTAACTGAAATAAAACAAAATTGTTTGTGTATTTTAGTTTTGAAAAATAAACTAACTACTTTGGCACCCTAATTCATAAATATTTACCAAAAAAAAATAATCAACTATATAAGTGTTATTTGTTTTTACCTACACTTATTGAATGAAACTCATTAAAATAATTAGATACCTACTTAATTGATTGAACTTGTTAAAATATAAATGAATTATGAAATTGCATTACAATACATATTAACAATTAAACTATTATAATAATAGACAATATTAGAAAGATTGCATACAACAAATGACGGTAGATATGTACTTGCGGATGCAAAAAAAAATAATGGGTTTTTATCTGACGAAGCTCAGAACATACTCACGCAACTCTTAATAAATCACCTATTCCAGGATCAGAGCAAGTATGAATAAAACATAGATACTTATATTTAAAATAATTAAATTGATACTAATTTGAAATATTACAGAGGTAATGATTTATTTTTTCGTAAAATATCTGATTTGATTGTGCAAGTATTTCCCGAAGAGCATAAGGTAATAAATAGTATACACAATACTTTCTTATAGATTCAATTAATTTTACCTCAGATAAATAGATTTTATTTATTTTTTGTTTGAATTTAGAGTGTTTACTTTATACCAGCAAGGTCAGAGGGACCTACTCAAACCCATGCAAAGGGAAAACTGATAGAAAGGTGGAAGAATGTAGCTAGGCGCTTAAGGACAGTTGGTGCTATAAGTTCTTCTTCAGTGGTAAAAAACCTACAACTTACAGCTACAGATATTTCATTTTCTGGTATTTATAATTTAATACAAATAAATTATTTTATTTTTATTACGTATGAATAGTATATATTTTTAATTTTCATGATATAGAAGATACATTGGCTATTAAGCGATGGTTGGCGAATGAAGGTTTGACAGAAAATTTTGATGTTGTTCTGTCCAAATGGCAGTTGACTTATGAGCTAAGAAAACATGAAATTTTAAATTCCAGCAATAAATATTTAGCAGACTTATTTGAATCTTGGCCTGCACTTCAGTGTCCGATTGGTTATGAATTGGTATGTTTTTATATTAGTTTTAATAAATTCTTATAATGTTTATTTCTAAACAAATTTTTCAATGCTTTTAAAACTATAATATTTGAGTCTAATCTAAATAATATTAATATTAGGTTAGTCAGATATAGTGGTCTACTAATATTAATGTCTCCCTAAAATTAACAATCAACATAATATGGTTATTGCTATGTCCTTTGTCAATATGTTGTAATATTAATGTATTCGAATTATTATTTTGGACAGATTGTTGAAGACTATCGTATTGGGTATCCTGAATCACATGATTTATTCAAAGATTTTAATTGTTTTTTGAACAGTTGGGAAGTGTTCTCAACTAAACTGTTAAAAATAAGAAGAAGCAGTATTAAGGATAAATATGCTATTAATCTATTGTCAAATTTGGATTCAGCTGAACTCAATGGAAGTGAGTCTAATAAGAATAACTATTTTTGTATTAATCTTAGGAAAGTTAACTCAATTTTAACTCCTTAAGTTAAGTTATTAAAGTTCCCTGTGTTCACAAGAAAAGCTTTCAAGTCCAAAATTTGTATTTTGGGATTAATTTTGTGTTTTTAATTTTGGATATAAATCACTGATGTGCTATAATCAACTAAGTCCAACTAGTCTTTTTAAATATAAAGTACATCCAATAAACAATATATTAAAAACTTTTACAATTTTAAAAATTCTATATATATTCTATAATATTTTAATAAGGCCATTATTTATTTTACTGTATTAGTAGGTATTTAGTAGTACTGTAGTAGGTACCTATATCAATATAAAAAGTAAAATATTATTATTGGGTATTATTGTATTGTTATTGTTAGTATTTTTGCATATTATATTGTATTAATTTTTATTCTAATTATTATTATTTTAGATTTAAAAACAGCAAATGTTATAAAATTACTTTTAATACCTTATTTGATTCCGACCAAAACATTAATGAAAAATATTTTACCCAATGGAAAAAATAAATGTTGGAAGCCTTCGTTATTAGAATCTTCTTCTGCATTTGCTTATTTTTGTAATGTAAGTTTCTCATTTAAAATAAGTTCATGAATACATTTATACTTATATTGGTGTTTATTGTTTAATTTAAATAGAATCTGACTGGTCTTCAAGAAGATATTGATAAGAGACAGTCAAAATACAGTCAATATGGAGCTACAATACAGCCTTATATAATCTTTGTTGGAAAAGATTTAAGCTCCATTGATTCTTCTTACATCAGGGTAAATAAAAAGTTATGGTGTTTCGACTGTCCTTTAAAAGCTCTTGAAATTTGTTTCAAATCATATTTTGTATTTAATTGTGCTTACCCTGCGGAATGTTATGACTCTTGGCTTGTAATTCAACAATACTTATTTAAATTGTTCACAAAATATGATAAATCAACTTCTATAACTACTTCTGTTACATCTAATCTTAATTCATAATCATTTCAATTTCAATTTATATGTAATTTTTTTTTTATTTAAGAATAGGGAATTCTTAATTTATTACATTTACATCAAATTTACAAGGCAGTAAACAGTTATATAGCATTAGTTTATGTATATTATTATATGCTATTATTTTATATATTTTAGTGAATTTAAGTAAACTTCATTATGTATTTATGTTCCATTTGTTCATTAAATATTCTTACAATTAATCAACTTATTTTGCATTTAAGAATATATCATCATTATAATAGCCAATCAGTATATACATGTAGGCAAGACTTGTGTATGACAGATGTTCGAGGGTCTGATAAATTTAGGAAACATTTAATGAAATTTCATACTTCTCCAGTAACTACCACCTGTGTTGAAATTAATAATTTAAGTAATTCTGTATTAGAATCATCTGATACCATTGATAATAGTACTTCTGTATTAGATTCATCTGATACCATTGATAATAATTTAACTGAATGTGAGCAAAATCAAATAAATAGTTCAGTGATGATTAACTTAAACAATTTAAATACATCTTATAAAAATATTATTACCAAGAGTGTTTTACAATTTATCACCAATTTATATAAAAAACCTACTGTAACTGAGACTCTAATGCAGGAAATAGTAGATGGAATATCAGATTTATTTTCTAGTGGTATTGTTTCATTTTTAAAAACCATGGTTATGCCTCATTTGAAGGAGTGCAGTATTTCTGAAAAAAATGAAATAGATTATTTATTTGATACTTTGGCTAATCCTTTTTTCAATTTCAAAACTGAATATCAGAGATTTAAATTTTTTGAGGATAATAATTTGTTTTTTAAACCCAAAACAATAGTGATAGGTCACACAATTGAAAAAAAAAATATTTCAGGCATAGATCGACAAATAATGGTACCAGTTCAAGGACATTTGCTATCAATGAAACAAAATCTTAGACTATTGTTTGAATTTCCTGGGGTTTTCGAAGCAGCCTTTAAATATACTGAAGCTTCTACCAACCAAAATCAAATACTTTCATCATTTCTAAATGGTACTACTTGGAAGTCAATTAAACATAAATTTAGTAATAAAATTGTTTTTCCTATATTCTTGTATTATGATGATGTTGAAATAGGAAACCCTTTAGGATCGCACTCCGGTATACATAAAATGGGCTGTGTATATTATACAATTCCTGCTTTTCCCCCAGAATATTTATCAACATTAGATAATATATTTGCTGCATTCTAATTTCACTCTTCAGATCTGGGAAACTCAAAATTCAATAATAAAACTATGTTCGCTTCTCTGATTAATGATTTAATTGATTTACAAGAAAATGGAATTACTATTACAGTTAATTCAAATATTATTCAGGTGTATTTTGTTCTTGGACTAGTTTTGGGTGACAATTTGGGTCTTAATTCTATATTAGGCTTTGTGTCAAGTTTTTCAGCCAATTATTGTTGTAGAATTTGTCGCTCCCATAAAACAAGCGCTCAAAAGATGCTTTTAGAATGTACAGAATCACTTAGAAATGAAGAAAACTATAAGCTAGATGTCCTTCAGGAAAATGTATCTGAAACAGGTGTAAATGAACTTTGTGTATTTAATGCTATTCCTAATTATCATGTAATAATTAATAGTGTATGCGATTTTATGCATGATGTAACAGAGGGAGTTGCTCGTTATGATATGGCTGTTATAATCACACAATTAATAAATGATAAGTATATTACATTAGAAACTTTAAATAATCGCATAATATTATTTGAATATGGAGTTTCAGAAATCAAAAATTCACCTCCACCAATTAACCAAAATCATTTAAATAAAGGATATATAACTATGTCATCTTCTGAAATGTTGTGTCTTGTAAGGTATTTTACATTAATTGTTGGCGAACTAGTTCCTATAGAAACCCCTGTTTGGCAATTGTATATAGCGTTGCGAAAAATTGTTGATATTTGCTGTGCAAAAACAATTCAATCCGAATGTTCTCATTTATTGGATCAAATAGTGGCTGAACATAATAGACTTTATTTGTTATTATCTGGAAGTAATCTTAAACCTAAATTTCACATGTTAACCCATTATGGGAGACTTTTAATTAAAAATGGACCATTAATATTGACTTCTTGTATTAGATTTGAAGCCAAGCATAAAATATTAAAAGCTTTTGCAAATTCAATTCCTTGTAGAATCAACCTTGGTCATACCCTAGCAAATAAAATTCAACTGCAAATGGCAAGTCGATATTTGACTATGTCTGGTTTAGGACCATTTGTACACTTTTTGGCCCAACAGATAAAACTTTATTGATATTTATAGAAAAAAAAAAACTAAAAAAATTGAAAACTATAACTGTCCATAAACAGCTCAAAAAGAGTCAAAATATTTTCAAAATTGTATGGTGTATATTAAATGCTATAATATAAACATTCAGTGAAAATTTCATGTATCTGCAGTTATTTATTTTTGAATTACAACAAAATAAGGAAATCGCTACATGAGAAATCGAGTAAATATCCTATGTTGTAAAAATTTGAATTTCAAATGCTCATAAAAATTTAATTTGACTTTCTTATAGACATTTTTTTTTTTTGATAGAGACAGATATGAGATAATCTTATAAGGAATCTTGTATTACGTTTTAAAACCTTAGATTTAAAAGAAAAATTTTTACGAAATCTTAACTCAAAATAATTTGCTAATTTTCGTGATTTATTAATATTTGAACTTTAAATGTTTATAAAAAAACTGTGACTAAGGACTTTTAATATTTTTCAAATGTCATAGTAAAAATATAATAGGAGCCTTGCATTAAATTTTCAAGCTTTTTTACCCAACGAATAAAATTGTATTGACATTCATAGAAAAAAAAACTAATAAAAATTTGAAACTGAAAATTTCCCTAAACAGTTCAAAATATTTTAAAAATTATATCGTGTATAGAAAATACAAATATAAACAACCATTGAAAATTTCATGTATCTATAATATGTATGGTCATTTGTTTTAAAGGTACCTACACCAAAAACCAAAGTTGATTTTGAGTAAAAATTCCCGTTTTTCCTAAATTTTTATTTTGTTTTTCACGGTGCTTTTGAAAATTACTGAAATTTTAAATGTTGATAGCCCCAATTCACCAACAATATTCACTTTCCCATCGAACAAGATACTGAAGTTGAAAATCGAAGCATTATTTCGACTACTTATCGTGTACACACTACACAGATACAAAAATAATAGAAAAAAAGAAAACACGCACATCATTGTAAAATCAATAAATTCATCGTTCCACTCAGAATTTAAAACATAACAAAAATTGAAAATGTAAAGTGTCCCTAAATAGTTCAAAAAGAGTCAAAATATTTTGAATATCTAATCTTGTATGAAAATGGTCATATTATAAACATTTGGTAAAAGTATCTTCAGTTATTCGTTTTTTTAGTTAGGTACCTACAAAAAAACAAAATCGATTTTGTCAAAAACTGGTTTTTCGAAAATTCCTGTTTTTTATTTTTTGCCACTAGCCAGTATATAATACTTGTACATTATAAATTAATTTCTATAGGAGCATCAAGAACTCATGACAACTACGTATGGTTGGATAGTAGTATAAAACCGTTCAGTCGTCACCCTCAACTTTTAATCCACATCAGTATCTCAATTTTTTCAAATCAATTGGCATACCTACAGGCTGGGTGCCGGTTGCCTCTTCGACGGTCATGTGTTCGAAAGTCGTGTGTTCGAAAATGTGTGTTCTAAGGTTCATGTCATCAAAAAATTGTGTCTTCGAAAAGCCATGTGTTCGATAAGTCATGTGATTAAAAGGTAATTTGTTCGAATAGTTATTTTTCAATTGTAATAAAATATTATATATCTATAATAATAATAAATATAATATTATATATATTATTAATATACGATCTAGAACGTGGTCCGATAACGAAAAATAGGTTATATCATTAAGCAATCGATAAGTGTAGTTTTAAGTATTAATAATTATTTATACATAAAAAATAAAGACTACATTAGAAAAATAGACAGTGTACATATTTTTTATTGGACTTGTGTAAAAAAATGTGGTGCGAAAATTCGGACTTTTTGTGAAAATAATGTACATTATATTGACAAGAATTGTATTTTTTCTGAAAATGACCATTTGCACGGAGCTGATCCAATAAGTGTAGGAGCAAGAAAAATAAAAGAAACTATAAAAAAATCATGATAAACCAATACAAATATACCACGCTGCGATCGCAGGAACGTCTCAAACAATTACTTCACATGTCAGTAAAGAACCGGCTCGACAAATATTATTTTGTAATTTTGAATTGTAATTTACATTACAAATGAGTATTGTTTAAAGATTGTAGATGGGTGGACATTATTGAAACCTTTGTTTAAAACCGAAGCAGAACAACAATTATCACAATATTTTGAGGAACCGTATGTTTTGGGAAAATCAGGTATGCGTTTGAGAGGAAGACCAACAAAACAAACCATACGTAATCCACCAATGTTTCCTCCAGATATGTGGTCAGTAGCTGACCGCCTAAATCTTGGTTTGCCAAGAACCACAAACGTTGCAGAATCATGGCATAGGAAAATAAATAGACTAGTTTCTCCTAATTTTATTTTCATACTAACATTTATTTTATACATTTGTAATAATAAATTTTAATTATATTATTACCTAGGATTTATGATGACGATAGTAAAAGCTGGCATTTTTAAAAGGCATTGCACATAGTTCAACTTTATAAATATTTATTTTTATTTTCATACTAACATTTATTTTACTTTAATAATAATACAATTTAATAATATATAATATTTTATTACAATTGAAACATAACTATTCGAACAAATTACCTTTCAAACACACGGCTTTTCGAAGACACAATTTTTCGATGACATGAACTTTCGAACTCACATTTTCGAACACTTGACTTTCGAACATATGATTTTCGGACAGTTGACACCCACCCCTACAGGCTACAACTGTTATCCGGTTATTCATAAATCATAAAATGGCCAACTGAAAAACTAATAAAACCAATTTTCTGGAGGGAGTGGTATTGTATTATAGTCTTGTGCCAGGTGTATAGGTATCATATAAATATTGTACAATATGTGCTTTTAATAATTTTGTTTTACCTCCAAGGCCCACTTAAGATGGGTTTACATAACAAGTTGAGGGATGTTTTCGATTTAAATGACAACGCCGGATGTACATGAAAATACTAAACATTTATGTATATGAAAAGTCATAGTTATGTAGAATAGGTACGTTAAAACATAAACAAAATGTTCATAAAAAGGGTGTTCGGTGGAACAGAAAAGTTCCAGAAGCGCAGTAATAAGAACGTTGTACAAATGTGTAAAACATCAATATTATAGTGAACTTGAAAACTAATAATTTCCGCCAATTTATTTTGGTACCTACCATTGATCTTAGGTTGTATAAAAGTATAAAAAAATACCTACGAGATTTATCCTAATCCCTAGATATAATATATTCTTCATCCCATAACTTGAATCAAATTAAAAATAGTACGCTAAATAATTTTTTGTGAACCGTCATAGTTTTTGACATCACTGTCCTCTGGTATTCTATGAAAATTTATATTTTTTTCAATTTTGTAACCTAACATTTGCATGAAAAATATATTTATCTTAAAAATAATTTTCATAATATAATGTCTTGCTTTGAAATGCCTGAACTGCACTGTTCTGCACATTGTTATATTTTTTATGATTTTTAATAGTCAATGTTGCTACTTTGGTTGCAGGATTATAATGTAGTCTACTAAGCTTCTTTGAAGCACTCCCATTGATTGTCTATGTTAAAATGTATTTTATTATAACTTTGTAGTTATAGAATAATGAAAACACTTCCAGAATAGAATATCTTAAGCACACAGGTAATAACTCAACAGCAGGTCCAACACCGAAACCTTCTCCCTCTAAACTAATAAAATAAAAACTATAATACAGTAGTATGAAAACTAAACCCAAATAAAATATCAAAAAATTAATAAATAAGCAAATTTATAACCAATCACATTATTATTGTTCAATGTACTTATTAGAACAATATTCACAACAACTAGACAACTAAATTACATGTTCTCATGAGAAAAAAAAATATATATTATATTTGTACATGTTTACGTAAAATAAAAAATTAACACAAATTAGTTGATTGACTGGACTCGCAGTGTATGAGAGCTCATTGTTCCTGTAGTTGGTTCGTTTGGATCATTACCTCTGAGAATATTACCAGCTAAATCTAAAGCATATTTATGATCAACCACATTGTCTAGGGCCTTTTCAATAGCTTCATCTATGTTTTCAACGGTTATATAAGTTTTTGATTTTTCCTAGATACAAAGCAAATAAATTTAATATAACAATCAACATACAATAAATTATTGAATTATAATAAATGCCCGTTTATACCTTTTCTAATCTGATAATTTCCTCAACCACTTCTAGTTTTTTCTTTTTATCTTCTTCTTTTTCTATCAGTTGAGCTAAAATTTCTTCACGTTGGGCCTCACGTTCACTTGCCAACCTCTGTTCCCGTTCTGTTGCCACTTCAGCATTCCAATTGTCGTTGACATCCATGCATTTCGCCCATAACATTTCTTCTTTATGGGCAATTTCTTGCAACACCTCTTGACCCGTATACGATGTCTCCAGTTCATATTCCAGTTGTTTCCTGAAACGGACGTGTACAACAGGTTAATGAGAAGGCTACCTTGTGCACGTCGGGTACACAAATTAATGACTTTGAACACACTCACTGTATGGATTTCATGGTAGTCCTGTAGTTGGTGAACAGTCGGAACAGTTCTTTATTCTCGTCGGTGGAAATCTGTGGTCGAACGGGCACCCGGAACATTTTGGTCGGCGCTTTCGGCAACCATCTGGGTTTTCTAGTGTACCTAACCGGTTGCTGGTTTATGGCCTTAGTCTTGCACAGCAGTTTGCCGTACAGTAATTCAACTTTGCACAAATTTTGCATTATAAAGCAATCAGAGAATTGTGCAAAAAATTAAAATAGTTAATAGAGTACCAAAACGAAACGGCGCCGGTAACACCCAAACACGATGGGACAAAATTGTGATTATATTACAAAATCGAACATCCTAATCTGCATTATGATTACATTATTATTATTTCGCCGATAGCAAGTTTGTTTGATAATAGAAATTGTGATAACTGAATACAGATCACGAATTAAGATTTATCTTAATTCGTGCTCCTACCACGTCCTATTAAATTCTTATCTATCTGTAGACTGTAGGAGAACTGTATGTACCCGCAAATTGTACTGCAATATTACCACAGAACAATACCGTGTCTTCGATAATTCCATAGACCTATAAAGAATTATCTTATTATGTCTATGGATAATTCAGTGCTGCTGTAAGCATGATAGATGTGATAAGAAAGTATGATGAAAGCACGGACTAAAAATTGGTCAAAATTCGATCTTTAAATGCTTATAAAAAAAAATTGTGCCTCTGTATTTTTAATATTTTTCAATTGCTATTGTAGCAATATATCAGGAGCCTTGTATTACATTTTTACACTTTTTGGCCGAACAGATAAAACTTTATTGATATTTATATAAAAAAAAACTAAAAAAATTGAAAACTGAAAATTGTACAGTGTATAGGAAATGCTAATATGAACATTCAGTGAAATTTTCATGTATCTACAGTTATTCGTTTTTGAATTACAACAAAATAAGGAAATCGCTACATGAGAAATCGAGTGAATATCCAATGTTGTAAAAATTTGAATTTCAAAAGCTCATAAAAATTTAATTTGACTTTCCGGTAGAGATTTTTTTATTGATAAAGGTAGACAAACTTATGTGTAATTTTGTATTACATTTTCAAATCTTAGATTTAAAAAGAAAAATTTTTACGAATTCTTAACTCAAAATAATTTGCTAATTTTCTTGATTTTTCCATATTTTGTCAATTTTTGAACTTTAAATGCTTATAAAAAAAAAATTGTGACTAAGGATTTTTAATATTTTTCATCTGCCTTTGAAAAAGTATACTGGGAGCCTTCTATTAAATTTTCAAGCTTTTTTGACGAACAAATAACATTTTATTGATATTTATAGAATAAAAAAACTTAAGACATTGGAAACTGAAAATGTCCGTAAACAGCTCAAAATATATAAAAGAATTATAAGAATAAAAACACTTATTATCAATATATTGTAGAAGAGAAAAGGTGGTTCTGAATTATAGATGGGCCTATGCACGGCGTTGTTCGTCGGTAGTACACCAGTGCCGAAAGTCTAGTTGGGTTTCGTTAGGTTTAGTGGGGTTTAGTGAGGTTTAATCTAACCTAACGCTGCTAAAGGCATTGTCTGGTATTATTATTTAGATTTAAATAATTTCGATAACGGCAGCGCCATCTAACGTCGCTGAATAATTTTTAGCACTTGAAGAACTGGCCCTCGCAGCTGCTTAATTCCCTAGTTAGATAGCGTTGTCATATACGATTTACACATAGAGTATACTCTATGGATTTACAACACGGACATCTCCAAGACACTGCAATTTTATTAAGTTCATATTTTCACAATATTGGATATTCACTCGATTTCTCATGAACGATTTTGTAATTTTGTTGTTACTCAAAAACGAATAACTGTAGATACATGAAAATTAATTAAATTGTATTTATTGGGTAATAAGAGTAAACATTTTTACGAATTCTTAACTCAAAATAATTTGTTGATTTTCTTGATTTTTCAATATTTTGTCAATTTTTGAACTTTAAATGCTTATAAAAAAAAATTGTGACCAAGGATTTTTAATATTTTTCATCTGAAACAATAGGTATACTAGGAGCCTTATATTAAATTTTCAAGCTTTCGAAACCAACAAATAAAATTTTATTGATATTTTTAGAATAAAAACTAAAAAAAAAAATGGAAAATCAAAATCAAAATATTTTTAAAATGTTATCGTGTATAGAAAATGCAAATATAAACAACAATTGAAAATTGCATGTATATACGTTCATTTGTTTTAGAGTTACACCAAAAAATCGATTTTTTGGAAACCAGATTTTGCGTAAAAATTCCCGTTATTCCTTAATTTTTATGTGTTTAATCCCGGCGCTTGTGAAAACTATTGGGAATTTTAAAATTTGACCTCCCGAATGCACCAACTAGATTCACTTTCCAATGGAACAAGATACTGAAGTTGAAAATCGAAGCATTATTTCGACTACTTATCGTGTGCACAGACCAAAAAAAAAAAATTAAAAAATTAAAAAAAGGTGGGCAAGTGGGTGCATGCTACGGCTACCACGAATTAAGATATAGGTACCTAAGATATATCTTAATTCGTGATACAGATTATGTTGGTCCATGTACCTACCTATATTAATTTTAAAATTTGTAAATATTATTCTGAATTGATAAAATGTATTTCATAATAGGTATATTTTAAAATATTTGTTTTCTATTCTGTTTCCAGAACCACGAAATAATTTATATCAGATTGCGTACCTTTATCATACTATATTTTGCGTACAATTCTTCACAGATATTTCCCCATATGGTGCAAGTGTCTAACAAGCACACAAAATCATAATTATTATACCAGTACGTTCTGTGGTAGCGCATACCACTAAAACAACTGTAGAGACAGATTCTATCTATAGCCGCTTACGGCTTAGTGCTTACAGTGGCGTACTTAGGTTTTTGTCATGGGGGGGGGAATGATTTTATTCAGGAGTCCCGATTTTAAAGCTTAAGTTAGGACTCCGAAAAATGTTGCCTTTTATAGACAGCCTATGGGGCGAGGATTGATCCCCCAGTAAATACACCACTGGCCGATAATGCTAGAATAAATTGTGTATTTTATCTATGCCTACCTTATTATTTTTAGACTTTTAGTATTACATTGTTGTCTACAAAATTCATCTCTATTTCCGTTATGAAACTCAGTATAAGTTCTTAATGTCTATTCTAGAATTGGTATTTTTAAAACAGTGTAAATAGACGAATCTAGAAAAAAATAAACATAGCACGTCATTACATGTCTTTCAGTAATGTGCACAAATTCAGTTCTTTTAAAAAAAAAAATACGCCTGATTTTATCATCTATTTAAAAGTCATCAACAGAGCATTTGAATATTATCCTTATTTAATATATAATTATTGACATTTCAATAAAAATGTAACAGTTCCAGTAGGTAAAATAACCCATGTACCTATATATATTTCTCACCAAGAATGTTCATACCAAAATCTTGCCCGTTAGTTCTCCAAATAATCGATTCTCATTTTTTTAACTTGCAAAGGTAATTAAACACGATTCATGTGTCAAGTAAAACGTTAAAAAAAATAAACTTGTACCTAAAAATGTTTCAAGTAAATTTAACAATTTTTTCATCTCGAATTACTAATTTTACATTTTATATTTTTGTACAATGTGTATGCATAAAAGTAACACTTATGTATCAAGATAATAATACACAAAAAAAATATATTATTTTATGTTTTGGGCATTTATTATGAATTATCATTATTTACAATTTAACAAAATGATTTAAACAGTCCAAATCTATGACTCATCCAAACAAAGTACACAAGACATAAAATTTCAAAATTATACATAATAAATTTGTATATCACAGTTGATTAAATCGTTAATTAATCATTTTTTAAATCTAGTTATACAAGAGCTACAATTACAAATTATTTAATTTATAAATTTCTTTAACATTAAGATGGTACAAGTATAAATAAAAATAAATATATTTACTTTCTTCTACAATTTACATTAATATGTACAATTAATGTCTTTAACATAGTAAGTAAACCCTGTCTGAAAATAATGAAAAAGCAATATATTTATACATATTATATGTATTAAATTTACATTTATAAAAAATGCATCTGGTTTGAAATACAAAACTAAGTAATGTTTAAATATTACACATTTTAATACATTGTTGTAAAAGGTAAGTAGAAGTATAACTACTCATAGCTATAATATTTTTTCCAATAGTTGTAACTCCTGGACTTGGATTTATAATTTTCATCGCCTCTATAATCTCTATAATCTTTGTAGTCTCTGTAAGTAGGTACTAATCTAAAAAATAATTAAAATTCATTAGTTAGAAAAAAAATTTCCATCACTTCAATGAAACATTCATTTTTATAAAAACACAAATATAGTATAATAATTAATAATACAAGCAACTATATCAAATTTATAACTTTTAACATACTTATTATTGGTTGAAGATTTATGACGACGATATCCTGAAGAACTAGATGAACCAGAGGACGAACTTGAATATCGTTTACGGTTTTTATTTGATTTTCGGTGTTGTTTATGAGTTCTTCTATCAGATATTGATTTGGAACGAGATCGCTCATGACTAAAACACGAGTTATAAGATAATTTAACGCTTAAACACAATATTTAACAACATTTTTCTTACTTTCTTTTTTTGGATTTCTTTAAATGTCTTGGACTTCTACTTCCAGACTTAGTTTCTGAAGGTGGTGTTCTACTTCTACTTCTTTTTTTAATTGGTTTTCTGTAAGACAAATTTAATATAAATAACATATATATTTCAGTGACACATTGAAAATAAATGCATACTTATTTGGGGTAGTTGAACTAATATTTTCAGAGGCAGCAACAGTCATTCCATTAGTAGGAGGAGGTGGAACAACTTCTGTTTGTACTACTGGATGCACAATAGCTGCTCTAGCTTTTTCCTTAGCATGATCATATTCTTTCTTCAACTCTTCTACTCTCCTTTCTAAGTCTTCTGTGATAACCTGAAAATTATTAGAAACAAATATGGTTATACTGAACATACAAACTATATAATTTATAATAAATAATTTTCTGCTCACTTTAGGTCTCATATAAAGTTTGAGTATTTTACGACAGATGTCCTGGATGTCCGTTTCATTTGAATTGAATAAAGAGTACCATGCTGGACTTTTTGGTAATGGTATTTGTAATTTCCTGGCCGACAAATATATACAGGCACAAGCAATAGTTTCTGGATCAAATTGGACAAATACATCAGTTTGTAATGAATCATTCATGTAGTTCCAGGACATCTGCATTATTGACTGGTGTTTTTCAAATCCAAGTGCCTGTAGGTACATGACAATGAGTTTATGTGGGTGTTTAACATGCACGCAAAAGCCAAGCTCCTTGAGCACGCGTCGTTCCGCTTTTATTACCTGCGTCTTTTTCTGTACATAGTTTTGATCAAGGACCAACGGCGTAATCAATCTGCAACAGGGGCGGGGTATTTTTGGGTCTTGTTTTGGACTAGTGATCACATGGCGACACCATGGGTAAGACAATAAAGAATGGATAGTATGATCAACCACAACTGACTATGTTTTAATATATATTTTTTTTTTATATACTAATTTTATACATGCAAGAATATACAACTTTTTAAAATAAAATTAATGTATTTAAAATGCATCAAATATTGTTTGCTTTTGTTTTTATTTACCGATAGTTGCATTTATTAATTTAAACATCTTGCAGAAATAATAAATAATACTTCATTTTTTTAAAACTTATATTAATGTTTAAAGAAAAGTTTACTATATTATAAGATTTTCTTATTAATAATAAAATATTTACTAAACAAATTAAATACATGATAATTCATTATTACGTTAATCTGATATGTTTTCTATTCATAATGATTGCATGTAGTCAAAGTGTTCACTAAATATATATTGAATTAATTTAATGATTTAGTGTCATATTATTACATCTACCGATATCAATAATAGACAATAATATAATATTGTAATTAACACAATATTATATTCATTGAAAAATAATTAAGTTTCTGGTAGATACTTTCAATAATTAAGTTGTATAGTACTTAGTAATGCATTGTTTAAATACCATATAAATCCCTAATCCAAAACACAATTATTATTTCGAAACAAAAGAAATATTATTTATCAAACCATCAGGTAATTTAACAATTGTTAAATTTGTCCTGTTATTAAATGCTTTGATTTCTTGGCTTGATTCCTTGCACATTTTAAAGTTCACTAATTTAAATACTTAAAGCATGGTTTTCCATACTTCATTAACTGTTTTAAACAATTAACATTCACCTTCAAACAAAAATATGAAAAAAAAAACAAAGTTCACTTCAACTTCTGATTTTATCCAAGTCCTTTTAAACGTCTACAAATAGAGTAGGTACCTTATGAGATGTAGAATAACCATCAAATGGTTCATATGATATCTTCACACATGATTTGCTATCTTGAATCCCATTGTGTTTGCCATTGTGCAAATAACAGTTCGTAATTGTCTGTGAAATTCTATGTTGCTTGATACAAAACTTTTATGGTTAAGTATAATCACTAAATTAGAGCACATTATGTTATGCACATTGGTTTTATACTATACCTCTCTTTTTGACAAATACATATATATATATATATATATATATTTAAAATTTTTTTTGGACAGACCCTAACACTTTATTGGAGGGAAACCACATAGCTTATTTTTGGTTAAATCATGTTACAATATAATTTTTAAGGGGTCCAACAGTGTTCTTGACGTGACGACCATCAATTTCAACGTGAATCCACCACGTTCGCTTTCCTCTCCACAATTCAAACCGAGGGCAACTCACCCGGCGGTCAGCTGTGGAAAGTATCTGCGAAAACGCAAGTTATAAAATAAATTTGTGCTTTATATTTGCACTTGGATTAACATTAACAACCACTGACTTTGTTGCATTAGACAATTTACAAATAAAAATAAAGAAGGACAAAACAATTGCAACAAAAACAATGGATTTCTGTGCACCCTACAGTTATCGCATAAAGTCAACACATTGTAACTCTTAAGTGATTTTAATTTTAACTAAACAAAATAAAATAACAATAAAAAATAGGTATGAATAAATAACAGAATAAAATTAATATTAACATTTAATAGAAGTACAAGTTATATTAACCTTTATATTATATAATATATAGTATGAAATTACTAACGTCTTGTTTTTTTTTTATTTTTTACATTAACACGTTAAGTGTCTCATAGAATTTGATGTTTTTTGCCCGTAAATCAACCAATGTGTCGACTTCTACCTACCATGGAACATTTAAAAAAAACACTGAATACTCGAGTGATTGAACTTTAAAGCGATAAAGATCTTTAAAATGTATTGAAACGATTATTGGAGTAATGTTATAGTTGTCGACCCACTCAATGTGTCCAAGAAATTTATTTAAACCAAAGTATACTTTGTAGTAGTGTTAAAAATATATATTAGAAAACACGTTTTTCTCATAAAAATAAATAGTTTTTACTAACATAACTTGTACAAATATATAATGCCATTTGTAAGTATATCCTCTTATTCTGTATTTACCATAGCTATAGAAATATTAGAATGTTTAAGGAATGTGTATTTTGCGACTGCTGTAGGATATCTGAAAGTAATTAAACATCTAAGTAAATTTAAGTAATATTAACTTAAGAGGACGTCACACGTCCATAAAGTCTTAATTCAAAACCTTTTGTGTGGACAAGAACTGCTTTGTCTAGAGACCTAGGTAAAACAACTATTTTCACCATAAAAAATAAAAAAATAAACAGTATTTTTAATATTTTCAATACCTATAGTATCACCAAATGAAAAAATGTAAGTTGTTTTAAAATCTGTTATTTTAAAGTTTGACTAATTTGATATGAAAATGATAAAACTATATTTTATAGTAAAAGCTCTTCTTAGAGTGAAACTTTTGTTATTTCCCAGTTTCTTCAGTTATTTCCCACACAAAATTGTTTTTTATATGATTCTGTAATCAGGTAAAAAATACCAATGGTGCCAATGTAGCACCAGTGAAGTTACTTAGAAATAAAATACAGTAAAACTTTCTTATGACAGAATTAAAGATTTTGAAATATTGTTTTTTTTTTTTTAATACCTACTTTTAAATCTTTAAAAAGTGAATGCGTGACGATCTCTTAACATTTAAAAAGATAATGTAATTAAATTATAAGGTGAAAACTATATGTATGAATATAGATAGTTTCAAGTATTTAACTGCTCTAAGAAGTTGAGATTATGGACATTCATTCCATTCATCTTCCATCAAAATGAATGTCCAATAAACTCAACTCTATTTATACATTTAGGAAAAGGATATGGAACAATAAATAGTTCAAATTAAGCTAAGAATATAATTTTAAAGTCAATGAATGGAGAAGATTGACTAAAATGAAAACGAAAAATTTCAGATGGTAAAAACATGGTTAAATTAATTAACTATCTTCTTGGCATACATATTTTAACTGGGTTGAAGCTTAAGATTTACTTAAGAGGCTTGTATTCTAAGTTTATACCTAGGTTAATGTATAGGTTAATATATTATACTAGTAAGACAGTACAAGCCTTATAAGATAGATAGGCACATGTTTTTCTAATGAAATTTGATAACACTAACTTACCTTAAACTAAAGTTATTAAATTAAAATATCTACCTCTTACTTATAGATAATATACTGAATAAGATTTAAGTGGTATTGATAAAACCTACATATTTAATTTCTGGGTTAAAAGAAGTGTTGTTAAGGGTTTACAAAATTTGAGTAATTTTAACAGATAAATTTGGAAAATATCAAGTATATACTATGTAAGGTCCAAATCAAAATGGATAATTTAACGGAAACATAAGCTAACATATTAGTCAGTTGTGATTAAAAATATTTAAACAAGATTCAAATAAAATAAATAAATATTAATTAAGAAAAATAAAAAACCACCTCAACTTACTTTTGATTTAAAACTTGACGGATATGATGATAAACATTAATAACATCACGAATACGCCTTGGTGATTCTTCGACTTTCGAGGCCAAACATGTGCATGCCATTGCAGTTATTTCCATTGGGTGGCGAACAAAAGATTTTGTGTAGTAAAATCGTTGAAACAACACCTGTCCAGTTGCCATTGCAACCTGAAAAATCAAAATTACATAATATTTTCTTTAGCATAATAAAAAGTTAAGTGACATAATTTATAACAGGTAAGCATAGTTGTGAATTTAATGATTTTACATGTCGATTTAATTAATTTTATACGGAATTTAAAATGAGTTACAAAAAAAAATGTGAGTTACAAATTTGGTTCTAGATATAACCATTCTGTGATATACGATACCAAAAAATATTTATATATTAGAAATTAATTGCTTATTTTTAGCTATTTTACTTATATATTTTATTTATTAAAAAACCTAGTTTAACACGTTCAACGCCGCCCGTGATTTCAGCAATTATACCGCGACGCCGCGTTGCAGGCATCCGTTGTAGTATCGTATATAACGCCAAATGAAACAAATTATTGTATTTTCAATATTATTAGTGGCAAAGTAGCCATATTGCATGATACAGTATGTTACTATTATTAAATAACAGTAGAAAAATTCATAATATAATAATATATCTAATATACACCCTGTATACGTTCATATACATTTTCTTGGGAAGGCCGTCAAAAACAACGATTATCAGTATCTAATAATAACGAAAACTCAAACCAATTATAGATTTAAATTTAGAGTTTATTGTCTACAGCCTGTGTACATTTCAGAGTTTATTAAAATAAAATCGATTAAATTATGGCGGATACAAACGTACATGTTACTGACGCGTAAACGCGTCACTGGCTCAATGGAATAAACTCTGTTGCCGCGTATACGCGTCAGCGGCGTTGAAAGTGTTAATAGTAATAATTTGCATTAATGAAAATGTTGGTAAGCCTATCTAAAGTATTTTTTTTTGTTTTAGGATAAATTCTTTTTTGTAATTAATTAACAAAATAATAAAAATAATAATCATTTAATCAAATAACTAAAAGTTTAAAAATTTGCCTCATAACTGAAGTAATAAACTTTTCTTCTTCCTGTTTATTATTTCCATTACGGATTAACAGAATCACAAAATTAATCGTTTTTCAGGATTAGGTATTTGGGCAAAGTTTAACAACATGCCAAAGCAAATGTTAGTGTTGATACATCTTGACGACCATAATATTTAAATGAGACAAAACATAAGCACATCTATAAGAAATCAGAATAATGCAACAGATTAAATAATCTGTGATAATACAATGTTGATGTACATACTCTACGAGGTGAAATAATATGTTACATAACACGGTGGTTGGAATTGAGAACAAAGGGGGAAAAAACCGTGAAAAATAATGGTAAACATTTCACATCAGCTGGGCCAGTCTTGATCCTTGGCGCGCAAAACGCGTGTACAACGTACGGTTTACTAATAATTATTAAATAATATATCTTGGTTGCTGTCCACCATTGTGATTCACAACAAGAAAAGTATTCTAAAATATAGGCCCGACGACGATATTGTTAAGATAACATATTCGAGAGGCTGAATGAGCTAGAGCAAGCTACATACACTATAGATTACAAGACGTACATAGCGGGTACAAGCGAGTAACAAAGTCTCACCTGAGGCAGTTTAAGCAGTATGCCAGCGGTCTGAATCCACTCACAGCCAACGATCCTTAAGTCGACTTCAGTCTCGAAATCTAACCCATCGATCATCGACGGTGTGGACGTGAGCTTTTCCTTGGGCAACAGTACGTTGCTAAGCGTCAACAGTACCTTGGTCGGTTGTTTTAACACATGGCGGTCGTGGTGAACGTCCGCCGCCGTCGTCGTAGCAGCAGTTTCCATTTTACACATCACCCACTACGCAATTGAAAGACACGAATTCTTCGGCACAGGGTTTTGAAGAAGAACACTAAACGACTAAACACGTCATGGACGGGGGAAGATTGCGAGCATAGAAAATAGACTGTGATAATGTGATAATTACTAACAATTTATTATTTATTCCGCAGTCGTAAAAGAAAAGCTAATGGTAATGTAGGTGGTAGGTCGCACAGTTCTCGACAGTCTATGAGTCAAGTTCCCTTCTCAGTTCTCAAACAAGTGTAAACAACAAACATGGCCGCTACGACGTTACGGCCGTTGCTCAGTGCTGCCAATCTCGAAGTCAGTGACAAAAATTGAGAAATTATTATTATCAACCATTATCAACATAGATAATAGATATATACCATGAACATTAGAGGAAGGCATTGAACTATATAATAACTGGAACGCTCACCACGCAGTGTGGCCCGAGCGAGGATGTTAAAAAGAGATAGCGTATATATTAGGAGCACGGCCTAAGAAGATAAGGTCTGGACACTTCCCTATTTAACAACGTTAATCAATTCGGTCGCTTAGAGAGGACATTTTAGTTGCGTTTTTCGCCGCTAATTTATTAGGCGCCTCGGTCTGAACTTTATTGAGGTTATGAATAAAATTAAAAATATTTTAGCGGCAAACGAAAATTAAACATCACAATAAATTATTATTATCGTAATTGAAATTAGAAAACAGAAATATTGTATTATACAGAGTGATTCACCAAGCATGCTCACCCCTATTTTTTCCTCTAATAATTAACTCAAAAACTACCAGTACGAATTTTGATTTTGATACGTCAAAAATTTCAGAAAAATTATCCACTGTATAATTTACAGTTGGAAAGGGGTTGTTCTCATTTGAAAACAGAAGTTTGTATCTCCACTGAAAACTTCTTAAGTAGTAAAAAAATATCTCAAGAATTTAAAAATATGATTTTAAAGTATATTCAAAAATTCCAAAAATCAGATTTTGAATAACTGTATTATTTAGGAAAAAAAGGTGTGAGCATGCTTGCTCCTGTATCATCCTGTATATTTAATAATATAGAGCCATAAATGGATATTAATTTGTAGTTTGTATACGGACATGGAATTATAGAAATAGAAATTATGTTGATACTTCCTGAATAATAAATTTAGAATTTTGTTTTCACAAACATATTTGTTAGTTGTTAATATAATATCATACTGCTGTAATTGTAGTTGTTTTAAGAATTGTTTCTTTCAACTTAAATATGCCCAATTTAATTTGTTTTTTTAGTTGCAATAAAAATTCAAAATTATCCGTGTTTAGTTGTCCCAAAAATGATGTACTTAAAGCCCAATGGGAAAGTAATCTTGGGATCAAACTTAAAAATAATTTTGTTATTTGTGAAAATCATTTTGATTCTGATGATATAGAACGACAAGTAATTAAAAAAGATCACAATGAAAACATTATATTTTCTGTGAGTATCAAATTACAAAATGTCTTTCTCGTTTTTATATTGTCCGACCTACATATAAATAGTAAATATTTAAAAAAAATTTGCATTGATTGATTGATTATTGCACATATTGTATTAAGGATATTTACAAAGCTGGGCAAGTTAGTCAATTTTTTTTAACTAGTTGGAGTTAAGTTACTTAGTAACTAAGTTAGAATTTAAGTTAGTTTCTGAAACTGTCCAAATTTCTAACTTAGTTAGTTAGAAGTTAGTTTGGTGAAAATAGTAGGTAACTTAAGTTAGAATAGAAGTTAGAAGTTAGTTTTTTTTTATAGATTAAAAAAACCTTTTTGTTGAAATGTAAATAATAAGTTTCTAACTTAAACTATTGATTAAAACTGAAAATTGAATTAAACACCTAGTAATTTGATCAAAATGTTCTAACTAGGTAAGTAATAATTTCAATTAATTGGTATATCAGTTATTAGTTATTAGAGGGTGAAACAAAATAAAAAAATGTGCATTATTATAAATACTAATAATTAATAATATATATGAGCCAATAATCTATATAGGCATATAACCATATAATGTCATGATTGAGAAACAGCTTTTGGAATTTTGGAATGTGAAAAAATAATAAGAATAATAACTAGTTAGTTTAGGTTTTTTTCTAATGAGTTAGATTAGACTATTCTACAGATTAAATTCAACTAGTTAAGTTACAAAGTTAATATGAATTAAAACTAACTAGTTAGTGCCCAGCTTTGGATATTTAAAAATATTCAGTTTTAAATATAATTTTGTATAGATGAACCTGTCTAAGCCAAGGCTTAAACCAAATTCTATTCCATTTAAGCTCCTGGATAGTAAATCAGCGAATAGAAGTCATGACAATGATTATATTAATGTTGAAGTAAGCAAATTATCAGTAACACCACAATAGATTAATTTTATTTGTCTATAAATATACACTTAATTAATGACATTTGTATTTAATATATATTGTAATATTTTATATTATTAATAATGTTAACTGTGCACAGGAATCCAACAATTTTAAACGATGTAAATTAGTACTGTCTGATGATCAAAAATATGATGTAGAAAGTGAAATGGTATCTTCAGACATATCTTTAAGAGTAATTCAAAAATATATTTATTTACTATAATTACATTTAAACTTTCAAACAATGTATCACTAAATTCACTTTGTTTTAGAAAAATATTCACATAGATGTTAACTCCTCACAAGACCTGAAAAATATTAAACGACGTAAATTAATATTCTCTGATGATCAAAAAAATGAAGTAGAATGTGAAATGGTATCTTCAGATATATCATTAAAAGTAATTCAAAAATATTTGTATTAACTATAATATTACAATTACATTTAATGTACATTTTATTACTGAATAACGTTGTTTTAAATTAATATTATAAATAATACTTTTAACACAACTACACAAGACTCGTATAATTTCTCTAGAATGAAACTGATCTTACAGAAATATGTGGTATAAATTATTTGGATGATTTTAAAAAAGACAGATTTTCATTGAAACAATGCCAGGTAAACATGTATTGTTTTCACTTTTAAAAAATTTGAATAAATTAATTGACCAATTTTAAATATAATTTTGTACAGATGAACCTACCTAATACATGCATGAAACCTGATTTTGTACCATTAAAACTCATAGATAGTATTCCTACATCAATTATAAGTCATGTTTGCCATGACCATGATTATGTTAAAGTTGAAGTAAGCAAAGTATTAATATAATTTCTATAATATATCATAATCTGATAAATCATGCTATTTATTTAGACTGTCGGCCAAATTCAAGGAACTAGTCAAATATATTTTGAACAATTACTAAACAATGAAATCTCCATTAACTTACCTCCATACTGGTATAAATATACTACAGTGAATAATAAATGGGTTGGATTTTCTGAAATCATTGTAAAGCAAACATCAGATGGTATATCACCTTTTTTCATTAGAGATATTATAGTTGAATCTACAATGAAAATTCATTGTAACATTTTGGGTAAAAATTATGATCTGGAAAAATTATCAATATCAAAACAACATATTGAATGTATTGAAGACATATCAAATGTAATACAATCAATTTCTAAGTATAAACTGTGTCAAGGACTAAATTCATGGCATGCATCAAAGTATTTTTCAGTCACTAGCAGTGTTAGCACAAATATATTAAAAGTAGATATTACAGGAACGTACAGACATACTAATTGTCAATTTCTCCTTGATATTGGTAGTAAATGCACAAATTGTGCTCGAGCCCTTAAAACTATTAGTCAAACAGTAAAAAGGTTGCTTGTAAATTCGCCCAAAAGACTAAAATTTAAAGTTACTCCAACAAAGAGAAAAATGTTAGAGAGATTGCAAAAAAAGTCAGAGATTATCAGAAAAAGAAATAAACGCCAAGAAAATAGAATAAAAATTTTGAAAAATAATTTATCAGAATCAGTTAAGAAATTAGAAAGTATGGTGACATCTGATATTACTGAAAAACTTAAAGCAAACAATGTTCCTGATTACCAACAAGTTATAATTAAAGAAATTTTAGCAGCTACTAAGGTTTGTTATTTTTTTTACAAATAGTATTTGTACTTCACTACTATACTCACTGTTTGCATTGGTTAGATTTCAACTAAATCTATGATTCAAATGATTTTTCAGGTTATTTATGTAAACAATTGATGTATTACACAAAAAACTGTCAAGTTTGTAAGACATCATTTATATCTCATCAAGGACATTCACAGCAAATGCAAGCAGCTTTGGTTAATCTGAAAACCCACGGACGATTAATACATCCAAATATAACTTTCTTCTATTTTATTAAAAATATTGAACAAAAATTTGAAAAATATTGTAATTCACCTTATGTTTTTGATTTGATTTTAGAAGAAATATTGAGTGAACACAAATTAAGTTTCCCATGTTCTACACATGCCACTGATATAATTTCTTTCGTAGTTATATATTACATACGTATGAGAATGAGGCAGTTTTCCCAACAAGTAAATCATAAAAATAAAAAATTGAATCGTAATAAAAAAAAAATTGCTAAGTTATATTCGACATAATACATGAAAGTACCTACTGCACCAAACGTTGAAATTGTACTGTACATATTTGTAAATATTAAAACAATAAAATATAATATGGTTAATTATTAAAGTAAATCATTATTCATTATCATCAATTTATTTATTTATTTTATTTAGTTAATACTAAATAGTAAATACTTAATTATTAATTGGTGACCGGTTTTAGATTCTGACTTCTGAGATCTGAACGCCGAGCGGAATTTTTTCAAATTTTAAATTTGCAACAATGTTTAATGTTGCCACTTTGCCAGTGGCAAGTCACTTGCCACCCTGCAGTCGATGACCGATGGTAAGTTGGTAAATAGGAAAATGCAGAAAGTTGGAACAGAAGCGCTATTAAAATAGCGGATTAAATAAGTACTAAAATGTCCTCTGTAAGCGGGCACAATAATAAGCAAAGAGTCCCGACCTTATCTTCTAAGGCTAACTATTTTAAAACTTCCGACCGTCATAAACATGGCAATTTTGAAGATATCAACAAACTGTAAAGATCAAAGTTGTTCAGAAAAAATAAAGAAATCGAAATCCGGTCTCCAAAATAGTGGTTGCTATTTAAGAAATTTTTATTTTACTGCGCATGCGCTGATAAAAAAAATTAAAAATTTGAATTCATTAAAAAAATATGTATTTATAAGTCCTAAATGCAGTATAAAAACCCCGATTCAAATTCAATGTCACACGATCGAAATATTTCCTGTTACCTTTAAAATTGAACACACGGTATACATATAATACGATGCCTATTTGGATTAATTAGCATTAAATCTTACCTGCATTCGGAAATTAAACTGTCCGCTTGATAAATTGACAACCAATTAATATTTTTTAGATTCTGAGTGAAACGATGAATGTATTGATTTTACAATGATGTGTGTTTATTTTTTTATTTTTTTTTTTATTTTTTTTTTTATTTTTTTTGTGTCTGTGTACACGATAAGTAGTCGAAATAATGCTTCGATTTTCGACTTCAGTATCTTGTTCGATTGGAAAGTGAATATCGTTGGTGCATTGGGGAGGTCAAAATTTAAAATTCCCAGTAGTTTTCAAGAGCGCCGGGAAAAACAAAAGAAAAATTAAGGAAAAACGGGAATTTTTACGCAAAATCGATTTTTCAGAATATTGAATTTGGTTTTTGGTGTAACTTTAAAACAAATGACCGTAGGCAATTTTCACTGGTTGTTTATATTTGCATCTTCTATACACGATAACATTTTCAAAATATTTTGATTTATTTTGAACAGTTTAGGGACATTTTTATTTTTAGTTTTTTTTTAGTTTTTTTTCTAGAAATATCAATAAAATTTTATTTGTTGGTTGCGAAAGCTTGAAAATTTAATAGAAGGCTCCTAATATATTGTTTCAAAGGCAGATGAAAAATATTAAAAATCCTTAGTCACAATTTTTTTTTATAAACATTTAAAGTTCAAAAATTGACAAAATATGGAAAAATCACGAAAATTAGCAAATTATTTTGAGTTAAGAATTCGTCAAAATTTTTCTTTTTAAATCTAAGATTTGAAAATCTAATACAAGATTACTCATAAGATTGTCTACCTTTATCAATAAAAAAATCTCTACCGGAAAGTCAAATTAAATTTTTATGAGCGTTTGAAATTCAAATTTTTACAACATTGGATATTCACTCGATTTCTCATGTGGCAATTTCCTTTTTTTGTTGTTATTAAAAAACGAATTACTGTAGATACATGAAAATTTCACTGAATGTTTATATTAGCATTTCCTATACACCATACAATTTTGAAAATATTTTGACTCTTTTTGAGCCGTTTACGGACATTTTCAGTTTTCAATTTTTTTAGTTTTTTTTTTCTATAAATATCAATTAAGTTTTATCTGTTGGGCCAAAAAGTGTAAAAATTTAATACAAGGCTCCTGATATATTGTTACAATATCAGTTGAAAAATATTAAAAATACATAGGCACAATTTTTTTTTATAAGCATTTTAACATCGAATTTTGACAGAATTTTTCAAAATCTCGAAAATTATTAATCATCGTAATTAATAAATTATAAAATGTTCAGTTTTTATAGCTAAGGATTGAAAATTTAAAACAAGATTCCACGTAAGTAGTTAATTCTCTTACCGAAAAATCTAAAAAATATACAATCACAGTTTATTTTTATAGTCATTTTATGTTCAAATTTGGACGAAATTACATATTAAAAAACCTAGTTATTTTTTTGTGATTATATAATATTATTCGTGGGTACCTACTTGAAACTTCTAAAGTGTACTATTATATATATATATGATAGTATCAGGGTTTGTTGTTGGTGTATAACGTGTTATAAGTACCTAATGGATATTGTGATAATGTGATATGATTAATTTGGAATTTATTATAGGTCAATTTTTTTATAATACCATAGATATGTATATAATTTGTCTTAAACCTAGACTGACATACCGTCTTCGATCAGAATCGTTTTTCTTATACAATGATATTGTATCATTGAATTCAAATTTAATAGCATCAATTATACAGTGACCCACTTGTAACCTACTGTACAGCAGAGCGACATCCACTTACCCACCTTTTTTAGAAATAAAACTCTGTTGTTGATATATTTAAATTATTTACTTATTTATTTATTTAAAAAATGTAATATACAGAAACAGAATGAAATACAATTATTGTCTAAAATATGAAATACCTAAATATATATTTGTTTTTCCATTCAAAATGTATTAGTTTTTATGAAAAAATTTTAAATGTAATAATTAATAATATTATATAAAATCAGTGCCGCAACTACATAGTAAGGGGCCCGTGTGCGATATTTTTTTTGGGCCCCTTCCTAAATTAATTTTTATTGTAAGTATTACAATCTATAAGTGCCAACATTTTTAGGTTTTATGTATACTAACATGTATATATTTTTTTTGGTTCCTACATTTTATTCAATCTGTTTGAAAGAGAACAATAAGAATTATTAATGGTATATAGAATAAGCTAAAATAAATCACTGATTGTTTAAATAAATATCCTATTGCTCTTATTATAGTAAGTATAAAAATTAACAGCCTTGCCTAAATTTTTAAATGACTTTTTATTTTAAGGTTTTAATAAACCCAAAATTTAAAACTACACAATTTTTTTTTAAACAAAATATTCGGTGTACCGTCATTTGCGCATGGTAAATTAAGCGCACGTTTATTGAGCGTGGTAATTATAGCGCACGACAATTAAGCGCATATGACATCTTGGCGATCGTCAAATCAGCGCCCACTACATTTTAGCGTGCGACAATTCAGCGCAATTTAAAAATATCTAATTGAAAGAATTTCCGTGTTATCGATACAGCAGCAGAAGTTATTATCTATTGGTGTCTAGATAATCGAGATAGTCTGATATAGGCATATAGGTAGGTAACTAGTATAAAATAATTTTGTGGTTAGTATACGTAAAGTATTTCGGCTTTCAACATTCAACAACATAATGTCTGTACTACAATATATAACTAGTCAAAGGGGAAAAAAATTATTAGTATACAACAATTATATTCATAGACAGGACAGACGAGATGAAAACAAAATAATTTGGAGGTGCAATGGAAATCAAAAGTGCTCAGGACGGGTCCATGTATCACAAAGTAAGTACTAATAGTACACACCAGTTTTGGTAAATAAGAATACTTTTTAAACGAGAAAATACTTGTAATATTATGTAGTATTGTAAATACGTTTAAATGTCTTGTCACAAATTTATTTAAAACATACATAAAAAGTTATAAATTATATTAAAAATTATACAATTATACAATTATAAAAATACTAAGTCTTAAAAATAAAAATTATTCAGAACACGTACAAATTAATTATGAAGTTATTTATAATTAATTTTAAACTATATATATAATTTTAGATGATATTGTATTGAAATATGTAGACCATAGTCATTTATCAGACGTTGCTAAAATTCAAGCAAAGAAAACAGTTGAAGAAATGAAAACTCTTGCTAAAGAAAACAGTTTAACAACTCGTGCCATTCTTGGAGAAGGCTCTTCACAGGTAATAATACAATAAATAAAATATTATAAAATATAAATAGGGCTCGGATGTTTATGCACTTAAAACTACTGTAATATGCATGCGTTTATGCACTAAAAAATTACGAAATATACAAAATAAATAATAATAATAAATAATACCATAGATATGTATGTAATATGTCTTAAACCTAGACTGACATACCGTCTCCGCTCAGAATCGTTTTTCTTATACAATGATATTATATCATTGAATTCAAATTTAATACCATCCATTATTCACCTTTTTTTAATTATATTTTTTTTATAACCGTATATTAATAATAAATGTTATTTAGTTACCTGCTGCAGTATCAGCCCAACTACCGAACCCGAGATCTTTAAAAAGAACAATACAGCGAGTACGCCAAATTAAACAAATTGCTCCAGCCAACCCAAATTCTTTACGTTTCGAAATACCAGATTCATTCAAAAAAACATTATGTGGAGAGCAGTTTCTTTTTTTTGACAGTGCTGATTCTGGAAATTTTGAAGACCGAATTTTAATTTTTTCGACATGGAAAAATTTAGAACTTTTAACATATTCGAAACACTGGTTTGCTGACGGTACATTTTCATCATGTCCCAATTTATTTTACCAATTATATACGATACATACAATTCAGTTTTCTAATGTCATACCGTTGGTATATATTTTGTTACCGGACAAAAAAGAAAACACTTATACTACAATGTTCCGTAATTTAAAATTAATAAAACCAGATTTAAATCCAACTTCAATTTTGATTGACTTCGAAAAAGCAGTGATGAATTCTATTAAAACCGAATTTCCTCAAACAAAAATTCAAGGCTGTTTTTTCCATTTAAGTCAAGCCTTATGGAGGCATATTCAAGAATATGGTTTACAAACTCAATATTGTAATGACCCTGTATTTGCTCTGGAGTTGAAGAAATTGGCTGCTCTCGCTTTCGTTCCAATAGAAAAGGTAATAGAATACTTTGAAGGTCTTTTAGAAAATGAATTTTATAGAAAAAATGAAGAGCTATTGTCGCCACTAATATCTTACTTCGAATGTACTTGGATTGGAAGTTTAGACAGGAGAGGAAAACGAAGATCTCCCTTATTTGCAATTGATCTTTGGAATTGCTTTAATCGTTTGAAAAACGATCTCCCAAGAACCAATAATAATATTGAAGGTTGGCATAATGGGTTTTCTGCTCTTTTAACGTCTTCACATCCTACTATATGGAAATTTATTAATTGTTTAAAAAAAGAAGAGAGTATTAATAAGATGACAACCGAACAGCTTATTGCTGGAGATGTACCGCCAAAAAAATCAAAGTACAAAGATACAGCAAAAAAAATTTTACATCTATGCGAAGATTTCGAAAACCGACAACTCAATGATTACTTACAAGGAATAGCTCACAATTTTAATTTAAACAAGTGATTTATTTTAACGTGTGTTTAGCAATAATATTATAATAATAATATTTTATAATTATATAACTTTCTACGATATGCAACACTTGTGACAATTTTACTTAAATGATTTTACTTTGCGAATTTTTTATATTTATTATGTACAATTAATTAAGATTAATAAATATGTATTTAGCAATAATGATTTTAATTTGGGAATTTATTATATTTACTAACATTTAACTTAGTATATTTTATTAAACATGATGCGCGGAATGTGTTGCGCGTAAATGTCGTATGCGCCGACATGTATTGCGCGTAAATGTCGTATACGCTGACTTGTGATAAGCGGAAATGTCATCGCTGAATTGTCGTGAGCTAAAATGACTGCGCTAAATTGTCATGGAACCAAAATATTCAAATTTTTAATGTAAAAAATTCATTTTTCTGGCTTTTGTGTTTGCAAAAATATTTATAATATTGTCTACATCTATTTCAGAAGTTTGCAGCCTTTCAATATTAAGTAAAGCCAAGCTTGATAATCTATCTTGTGAAATGGTACTACGTAGGTACCTAGTTCTTTATGAGTTTTAGTTTTGAAAAAGACCTTTCAGCAGAAGCAGAAGTGACTGGCATAGTTATGAATATCATTGTAGCCGTAAATACATCAAGAAAAATAGTTGATAGATTTTCTTTTAATATAAATAATGATAGATCTTTTATTGTCATCTTTTTAATGTCACTGTTATTAGTGGTATTATCCTTTAAAAGAAAAAAAATCTTGAAGACTGACTATTTGACGCGTGAAGTCACTAGGTACTAACAAATACTATAGATTAGAATACGGGAAGCTCTTAGATTTTCTAGGGGACACTGTAGCGCTCCATATTATAGTAGGTTGCCTATATAAACCCCTTTATTTTTATTTTTTAGACACTGATAAGTGATAACTGAATAACTGATAAGTTATAACAAATACAAAAGAACAACTACTTAGCTTTTTTCTAATTTTTAAATTAAGTTCAATAGTCCATTAGCCTTTAGGAACTTAATATTATAGTGTTGTTAGTATTAAAATATATAAATAGTTTATAATAAAACGTGCAATACATCATTACCTGTATCAAGTGTATGGCTGTATGGATTATGGACACAGGAGACAGGATTACTAAAACAAGGTTTATTTCATAGAGTAGGTAATACTTGATGGTTAGCTTATTGTTTTTACAATAATTTGGTACAGTTCTACACGGTTATACAGGTCTTAAGTTTTAAACATTTTAATGATATCGATAGTTGTGGAAAAATAATTATATAATTATCACAAAATATTGATTATACTAACTAAAAATTACTTACTAACCTTACTACTGAGAACACATTTTCTACACTGTCTTGTGTTAGTCTTCTTGTTAATAAGAAATCTATTTTGTATTTTTCATCTAGTTTGTTAAATAACAATTTCAAGGCAATAATATTTTCTTTCCAACCTACTATACACGGTGGTAATTTACCAGTTTTATTGTGAACTTTAAGTTTTCCTAATACCTGTTCTGCTTCATTCAAAAATTTCCAATGATCAGAAGTTTTAGTTAATGGCTTTCTTAATGTTTTTGCCTCACTGTGTGTTATACTGTTAAAAACATCAAATAAATTATCAAAGAATTCTATAAATCTTGCTGTATGTATAGCTGAACTTCTCATTTCATTCAGTGAAATTAAAGTCATCATATCAGAACTAACAGAATGGCTTAATGTTTGGGTTGCCAAACAAACACGCATTGGTGAGAATGGTGGTAGATCCATGTGAATTTTATTTAATCGAGGAGCTAACCTTGGCTTTTTATTTTTGTCTAAATTATAAAAATCTTCTAAATCTGACCAACTACAAAAATCATTGTCATAACTAAAATTGTATTTTTAGATACTGGTCCTTTAGAAAAAAAATATTCAAGTATTTGTTTCCAAGGTTTAACTATACCTTTAATCATAACAACTAATACTTGGTCACAGATGCGATTCATTGTCATATCAACAAACTCATGATCTGGACCAAAGTCTTCGTAACCACTAAATTGATCATTTTGAGAGTTATAAGAAATCAATTTTTTTAGTGACATCTCATCCATTATAATTGATAATATTAGCTTTTCACTCGGTGGAACATCCTTAAACTTTATTTTTAAAACATCAAGAACATTTGAGTTTACCCCACAAGAAACATCTATTGATTGTAGCCAATTTCTAAGTGATCTCACTGTTGGAAAACATAAATACTTGCGCATGAAATTATATGCCTTAGGGGAGTTATAATATAATGCAAGTGCAAATGATTTTTGATTTTCCTTATATCTACGACCATATTTGTTTATATTAGCTAGTTTTAACTGGTTTTTTTAAATAAAATTATTGTTCACTGTAGTTTGAAATAAATTTTTATTCATTTGTAATTTGTTAAGATTCTTTTTTTTTAATAACTGTATCCTAGTATTCTTTTTGTTTATTAACTTTTGCATTGTTCTAATTTTTAATCTTAATCTCTTAGTTTCCTGGTCACATAATTGAGGATTATGATGGACACGTAAGCGATAATCTAAACATTGTCAAATAAAATATTCTGTTAGTATGCTAGTAGTATGCTTAGTATAACGTTATTGAAAAGACAGGAATATGTATTTAAAAGAATTGACACTCTTAAAATAATGAGATCTATCCACCTACAGATTCTTAAAATTTACTTTCTTGGGTACAATAATGTTATTTTTTTTTCTTAATCTAACATCAACTGACACGGAAAATTGGAAAATAAGAAATCAATAAACATAATATTGTATAAATTCAATAAAGAAAAGTCCTTACTAGTATCTTCATAATTAATAGCAACAATATAAATATAGGGATAAAATTATTTTGGGTAAAAAAGGTTAACACTATCAGCTATAATATCATATTACTCATTCTATATAATGTTTCTGTTGTATTTAAATAAATTATACCTTATAGTGTAATAATTATTACTTTATTAGAGTAATTTTGTAAGGTATAGAAAAATAATCAACTATCGTAATACTGATATCATTGATATTATATTATGTTATTTAAATTTAATAATTATTGTTTCAGTATTTTGCATATAACAAAATATGTACCAATGTACATTCAATATTGTACTCATTATAATATAATAGTAATCTATATTCTAATACCTATTTTATATTGTTGATTTATGGCGCCAAATTATTTGTATTAGTTAACGAGTACATAAAAGTGATAAGGAGAAAGGGGCTGAATAGGCAATCACATATATTTTGGAGCGCTATGACGCCAGCAGGTTTCTACAGAGCTTCCCGTATTCTAATCTATAGTATTTGCTTATATTATGGCGCATCGTCACTCGTCAACCGTCGTCGTTTTCGGCTATCAGCCAGTTGTTCTTCCGACAATTCGACAAACAACGAGAGGCAAAGTCGCATAGACGCAATAAAAATAGATGTTATGGAAAAATTGATAGTACCATTGATCATATAATATACAAAAACGTCAAAAACCTACCATCCTATTTTAACATAGGTACCTACTTATCAAATATTAGTATACATACAACTACATTAATGTTTAAACTTAAAAAAAAATTATTGTGAGTAATTAATTTTGCGTTTTTAGGCAATTTATGTGTTTTCTCCAGGTTGGGCCCCCCAAATGTATGTAAGCCTTGGGGCCCGTGTGCGCGGTACGCTCTGCACACCCGGTTTTTGCGGCACTGTATAAAATATTTGCTGTACGGGGGGGGGGGATAAAGAATTTGAAAAAATTCATTTTCGGCAGGTGTTTGGTGCTGAAGAGGGATTATGGTTAAGTCGGGTTTATGATTAAAATCTTAAAATTACAAATTAAATTGTTTAGCATTTATTTATAGATGATGCATGTTAGAAAATAATTTAGGCTCATATACAAAAATGTCAGGGAGTCACAACCTCCCCTCTAGTTTTGCCCCTGGTATTTATTATACAAAACCTCCCCAAAATTGTATTCTATGTTCCACACTGCCTGGAAGGATTTGTATATTCTTCTTCTTTCCTGTAACATAAAATACAATTTAAATTTGATTGAAACATATAATACATTACTTCTTCCTCTTCTTTCCTGATTTCTAGGTTTAGCACTGCCCAGGGCCGTCCCGAACAACAATTCATGGGGGGGGTGGTAGATCTATTAATTTGCCGACTGAAAAATTTTTTTCTCGCTTCGCTCGAATACGTTTTCTACTACATTATATTTATATTTATATTATTATTTAATTTATACCATTTATTTAGGACCATCAGGGTTTCTTCGACAAATCCCAACCCACAAACACACATGTAATGTGTCCCTTAACTAACCGTAATTCCCCTCACAAATAGTTGCCAATGGTGCAAATAGTGGAATTTTTACGCAAAATTCCTTTTACAAAAAATCGATTTTGGTTATTGGTGTAACTCTAAAACAAATGAACGTATATACATGAAATTTTCACTGGTTGTTTATAATTGCATTTTCAATACACGATAACATTTTCAAAATATTTTGATTTATTTTGAACTGTTTAGGGACATTTTCATTTTCCATTTTTTTTTAGTTTTTTTTCTAAAAATATCAATAAAATTTTATTTGTTGGTTGCGAAAGCTTGAAAATTTAATAGAAGGCTCCTAATATGTTGTTTCAAAGGCAGATGAAAAATATTAAAAATTCTTAGTCACAATTTTTTTTTATAAGCATTTAAAGTTCAAAAATTGACAAAATATGGAAAAATCACGAAAATTAGCAAATTATTTTGAGTTAAGAATTCGTAAAAATTTTTCTTTTTAAATCTAAGATTTTAAAATGTAATACAAGATTCTTTATAAGATGATCTACTTTTATCAAAAAAAAAAATGTCTATAAGAAAGTCAAATTAAATTTTTATGAGCGTTTGAAATTCAAATTTTAACAACATTGGATATTCACTCGATTACTCATGTAGCGATTTCTTTATTTGTTGCAATTCAAAAACGAACAACTGTAGATACATGAAAATTTCACTGAATGTTTAAATTAGCATTTTCTATACACCATACAATTTTGAAAATATATTGACTCTTTTTGAGCTGTTTATGGACATTTACAAATTTCAATTTTTTTTAGTTTTTTTTTCTATAAATATCAATAAAGTTTTATCTGTTGGGCCAAAAAGTGTAAAAATGTAATACAAGGCTCCTGATATATTGTTACAATATCAGTTGAAAAATATTAAAAATATATAGGCATGATTTTTTTTTATAAGCATTTAAAGTTGGAATTTTGACAAAATTTATCAAAATCTCGAAAATTATCAATCGTTGGAATTAAAAAATTATAAAATGTTCAGTTTTTATAACTAAGAGTTGAAAATTTAAAACAAAGATTCTCTTAAATAATTCATACTGTAACCAAAAAATCTAAAAAATATATAAACACACTTATTTTTTACAGACATTTTAATTTCAAATTTAGACAAAATTTCATATTTAAACCAAGAATTACGATTTTAGTTATTTTGTTGTGATTGAATAATATTATTCGTGGGTACTTGAAACTTCTAAAGTGTACTATTATATATCTATGATAGTATCAGGGTTTGTTGTTGGTGTATAACCCGTTATAAGTACCTAATGGATATTGTGATATGATTAGTTTGGAATTTATTATAGGTACCTATTATAGGTCAATTTTTTGTTTAATACCATAGATATGTATATAATATGTCTTATACATAGACTGACATACCGTCACCGCTCAGAATCGTTTTTCTTATACAATGATATTTTATCATTGAATTCAAATTTAATACCATCCATTATACAGTGACCCACTTGTAACCTACTGTACAGCAGGGCGACACCCACTTGCCCACCTTTTTTTTTCATGTTTTTGATTATTATCATTGTCAAATGTTTTGCCACATTCGAAGCACTCTAATTTAATCCGCTTTCGTTTGCCGAAATTTGTTTCATTTTTATTGCCAAAATTCATGATTATTTAAACAGTAAAATGCAAAATTATATGAATAATAAGAAAAAATAATCACATAATATTAAAATTATAATAAATAGAAGACTAAACAGTTAATTTCTAGTAGGTAGCTACAGAACACGTTACCAATATGCACTAACCTCGGACGAATAGTCGAATAGACGACAACTGATAACTTACTATCGACTGCAAATGTGCAACAAATTTCAAGAATAATAAAATAATATTTTGTAATACCAAGAATAAGTCAATACATACGACTACCACGGGTAACAGTTTACATACTTACGTGTTGTACAACAGTCGCGCAATGCACTGATAGTAGATAAACACATCTATTTTTAGCATTCGGTGTAATCGAAGTGTCGACGTCGTCGTCGTCTTATCTTTTATAGAAATATAATATTTATACAAATATATTTTGAAAATAATAAAAATACTATTAAAATACTGACGATGCCAAATTGCCGACAACTTTTACCAAGTGTCCAATTTGCCGACTAAATATTTAAAAAATCATGAGTGGGGGGGTTAGACACCCCCCCACGCCCCCCTCAAAGGACGGCCCTGGCACTGCCTCTAAGGATTTGTATCTTCAACATGACATTTTTCATGTAATATAATAAACAATTTAAATTTGATTGAAACAAAATAACAATTTTTTTCTTGTTTATCGCCCTACTCTCCCAAATTTTTGGGGTCCTACACCTCCAAATAGCCCTGTCCTAATCTCTCCTTTACTCACACCTGTTATTTTCTTGCTATTATCTCGTCCATATTTTACTCTCTCTCTCTCTTCCTCATTCATCTTTCCTACTACATTTATTTACAATAAAACTTTATTTAAAATTATTATATAACAAATAGTAACATATCTAACATCTTTATTATAATTCAAGTTAAAAAATTAACACTTAAAATTATTTATTATTGTACCTATAGACTAGAATATAGGTAGGTACACGTCAATTCTATCAGAAAGAACAAAAAACTGAAATTGACGGACGTCGATCACAAAATTCACAAATCACAATATATTTTATGCCGGTAAACATTGAAAATGAATACAGTACAGCGTGTTATCAATAAAGACAGAGATAGAAATACCTAAAGTATTCGCTATCTCTTTCTAACACACTCGCTCTGTTTTATTTACATTAGTCATATGGGCGGTGAGCGTTCCAGTTATTATATAGTTCAATGGAGGAAGGACGCCGAACTGTGTATATAAAAGTGGTCCGGAATTATCGCATTCCGCCAGAATGCGCGTCGGACCGTAGTGAATAGTGATGTCGTTTTTACATATGTACAGCACAGGGAATTTATTGGTTTTTTAATATTTATATTATATTCTAAATGGTGTAACTTATGAATAATTACTATACAACATTTTTTTAAAACCAAATTGCCCTCGATCGAATATATGTGTTTCCAATAATATACGACTTTTATAAGAAAAGATATAGTTGTTTTAAAAAATACATTCGAATTTTTTATACATAATATATCAATAGGCAATATAGTATCAATATATAATATTGTTCTGTGATGGTATCGATGATTGCGTCTTATTTCAACTCATAAGAATAAAATTAATTATATATTATTTATATTATGCAGGTTACATGACAATGTGTTTCTGATTAGACAATTAGTTACTGGAGGTCTGGTCGTCTGGTCGTCTGGAGAACCTACTACTATTTATTAGTAATTAGGTACATATTATATAATAAAAAATGTCCAGAAACTGTTTTGTTCCTGGATGTCGAGAGGGCTACAAATCGAAAATTAAGTTGAATAAATGGCAAGGAATAATAAATAAAACAATGTTTAAGGCGCCCAAGGTAAGATCCTAAAATCTGAACTGTATTTGTTTTAATTTAGTACTTACCTACTTACATAATTTATAATTTGTTACTTATTATACTCAATATTTTAGTTGTTAGTTAATCGTTAGGTATTACTATTGAAGGTATACAATTATATATATATTATATACACAATTATCTACCTACTTAGAATTTATGTTTTAATAATATTTTAACTTTTAACTTGTATTTTATCTGCATACTATTATTATGTTATAGGATGTACTTCTTCTGGAGAAATGGGCCAAAGCTATCCCACGAGCTGATAGAGAATTGCGTCCTGGGATTGATAGTGTATGCGAAAAACATTTTGATGAAACCTATCTCAATAGATATTTTGAAACCAAGTTGCCTGATGGCTCAATAAATCAAATAAAAAGAGATAGAATAGTATTAAAAAACAATGCGGTTCCATCAATTTTCCCAGATTTGCCAAAGTATTTAACTAGAAAGAGACCAATTGAAAAAATGATTGCAGAAAAAAAGATACTTTTTAATGATAATATTTCAAATACAACTGACCATGTTTCTGAAACTTTTAACAATTTATACGATCATTTAAAAAATATGGAATTACCTGATGAATGGTTTTTTACTTATTTGCATAGGTCATTGGTATTAGGTAATTTAGATTCAAATTATGAATTAATAAAAAAAATTATAATATCAAACAATGATTTAAATCTAAAGGTATGGACGTATGGTTTTTAAAATGTTAACTAAAATTAATGTCATAAATAATTTATTAAAATATATATTTTAGGTATTCATTAAAAATAAGTTAATTAATATAACATGCACATCAATTACATGTATTGAAGACATAACAAAAGTACTAAAAAAAGTTGATGATTTTGTAATGTGTCCTGGAACTGGAATTGATAATTGGTAATATTTTTTTTAGTTTTTTCATTTTATTCTTAATTTATAGTTACCTATTGTTGATTTAAACAAATTATATAGTCCAAAATCTGATCAATGTTGTGAGTACATAAATTTAATTTCATTGAATCAAGTTCGTAATCAACGCTGTAGTGAGTGTGCCAAAAAAAGGAAATATTTTATGGATTCTCAAAGAGTTTCCCAAGAACATAACTACACAACACCTTTAATTGGAAATATAGCTGTTACAACTTACAAGTGATCCAGTATTGGCGTATATAAGTGGTTATGTATCGAGAAAAGCCTCTAGATTCACTAAATGTCCAATTTGTCTTGATTCATTGACGACATCTCAAACATTGTCAAGAGACATTTTAATTGAAGGTATATCCCATGGAAATCTGCTTAAACCTTCTACAAATCTATTTCACCTCATTAAGTCATTGGAATCCGCAACTCTGAAAGTGATGGCTACAGAAGATTTATCCTCAGATACCATTTTCAAAGTTATTGATACATTTGGAGAGGTTGGATCAGCACAGTTAGTTGGATGTAGTAATATGCAACATAAGCATGGATTAACATCAGCCATAATTAATTTCTTTTTAGTAACGAGGATGCATTTCATTTGCTCTCGTAACAATTCAATTGAAAATTCTAAAAAGGAAAAATCTATACTTCATCGGAAGTCAGCTAAATTAATTTAACTATTTTTATAAATTAATTTTTAAAAAATTAAACAGTCAAGTTACATAATAAGTTGTGTTAGATTACTTCATAAACTTACATACATCATTTATTGAACACATTTGTTTATTGACAATGTCAGTGTCTAAATAACTATTATAGCAACTTCTCATAAAATACTTTATATAATATATCATTAGTTATAGAATTATTTACTGTTATAGGTAAGTTATTATCTTTTTATGGCGTTAAAATAATATTTTTAGAGTTTTTTTTTGTATTTAATTGAAGCATAACATTTATAATAATATATAATATAATAGTATATTGTATTATATTTATATACATAAATATTTAACCTAGCTGTGATGTGAATTAGATTTAATTTGCAATTTACGAGAAATTTACGACTTCGTATGTACTTATTCAGAAATAAGTGTAAATATCATGACTGAATTGAAAAAAAACATAAATATTAAAATGTAATTTATTCATGACAAATATACTTGTATATATCTTCGAAATATCCTTTAATATCCATCGAATGGATTATGGATATATGGACATTAATTGAGCCTTTGAGGCTTTAGCTTATTATGCAGACGCCTGACATACAATCGTAAGTCGTAGGCAGCAAATACAATAGATATAGATTATAGCTAGTATTTGGTGACGGGCGACAGCGAAGAGTGAATCGTAATAAAACGCATGAAAATGAATCGATATTATATTACCTATATCTATATTATTGTGTATAAAAAGTTCGAATGTATTTTTTAAAACAACTATATCTCTTTTTATAAAAGTCGTATATTATTGGAAACACTTATATTCGATCGAGGGCAATTTGGTTTTAAAAAAATGTTCTATAGTAATTATTCATAAATTTCACCATTTAGATTATAATAATAAAAAACCATTAAATGTCCTATGCTATACATGTAAAAACGACATCATTACGGTCCGACGCGCATTCTGGCGGAATGCGATAATTCCGGACCATGTTTTTACGCTTCGTTCTGCTGTGTTCGGCGTCCTTCCTCTAATGTTCATGATTTATACCACGGACGTACAAACGTACAAACAGCTCAAAAAGAGTCAAAATATTTTCAAAATTGTATGGTGTATAGAAAATGCTAATATGAACATTCAGTGAAATTTTCATTTATCTACAGTTATTTGTTTTTGAATTACAACAAAATAAGGAAATCGAGTGAATATCCAATGTTGTAAAAATTTGAATTTCAAACGCTCATAAAAATTTAATTTGACTTTCTTATAGAATTTTTTTTTTTGATTAATGTAGAAAATCTTATAAGGAATCTTGTATTACATTTTCATATCTTAGATTTAAAAAGAAAATTTTTTATGAATTTCTAACTCGAAATAATTTTCAAATTTTCGTGATTTTTCCATATTTTGTCATTTTTTGAACTTTAAATGATTAAAAAAAAAAAACTGTGACCAACGATTTTTAATATTTTTCATCTGTCTTTGAAAAAATATAGTAGGAGCCTTGTATTAAATTTTCAAGTATTTTTACTCAACAAATAAATTTTTATTGATATTCATAAAAAAAAAAACTAATAAAATTGGAAACTGAAAATGTCCCTAAACAGTTAAAAATAAATCAAAATATTTTGAAAATGTTATCGTGTATAGAAAATGCAAATATAAACAACCACTGAAAATTTCATGTATCTACGGTCATTTGTTTTAAAGTTACACCAAAAACCAAAATCGATTTTCTCGAAAACAGATTTTACGTAAAATTTCCCGTTTTCCTTATATTTTCTTTTGTTTTTCCCGGCGCTTTTGAAAACTACTGGGAAATAGCTAAATAGCTAAACTACCAACGATATTCACTTTCCAATCGAACAAGATACTGAAGTTGAAAATCGAAGCATTATTTCGACTACTTATCGTGTACACAGACACAAAAAAAAATTAAAAATTAAAAAATTAAAAAAACACATCATTGTAAAATCAATACATTCATCGGTCCACTCAGAATCTAAAAAGGATAATTTTTGCCCGGCGCAGAAAAATTATAGTCGGGCCAAATTGCATCTTGATAATTTTAGGTATGCATAGGCATACCCTGCAATACCCCAAATGACGCCCCTGTTTATAGACCTTTCGAGAGGAGGTTTTCTCTTAATTGTATGCTCTGTTAAATAAAATGGTAAGTTCGGAAATATAGATGGAACTGCCCCAGCTTTTAATATGGGTCTAATTCTTTTAATTTTATTGACTGTTCCATCATTTAAGATAGTCTCATCATAAATTAGAATATCATTCTCTTTGAAATGCACTTCACACACATAACACTTTTCTGTGAGCATTTTGTCTTTCCTAGGTATAGCTCTATGCCATCTTGCTAAAAGCTCTGTGCTCTAAATATTATTTGTAACAAATAATTAAATAAAAAATGATTATTCATAAATAAGGTTAAGATAGTATGTTTTCTTACTTTGGGTGCTTTAAACAAACTTTTATTTTTTAATCCAATTTTTTTTTTATGTTCGACATCTAAAGCATAACCAGTATTACACCCTGGCACGAAACAACAATTAACCATTTTTAATGTGTAAGAAATAAAACACAAAATACAAATTACTATTGTTTTATGTTTTAGGAATAATAAATCAAGTTTAATTCGAAATACGTACATAATCCCTATTCCCTATTATACTACATGCTATAATATTGTAAAACGTAGCACTGCTATCGAACGTCGCGCTCCTGGTGGCAGAATAACCGTGCGACTTTGGTCAGGCTACTTTAAAAACGAGCGACTATAGGAGTTTGGTCTCCTTATCTCTAATTTTCATGCTTAGATCATATACTAGTATATAATATATAGCCTAAGGATATATAGGTACCATTGATATTAAAGAATGGAAAGGCCATTTGTGCTTATCATACGGGAACGAACATGAAAAAATGTTGTGGTTATAGAGGTCTTAACACAAATAGCTATATATACGATTATTGTATATAATTTATGATAAGACCTCTGCCAGAATGAGATACAATTATAAAAAATAGTCTTTCTCTCTTCCCCATTCCAGCACACGACGTCACGACCATCTATTAGATTCTGAGCGGAGCGAGGAAGCTAGTGGTTTTACAATGGTGTTTATTTTTTTTTTTTTTATATATCCTGTATACAAAATTTCTACCAGAAAGAGTGCTTTGATTTCAACATATAGTACCTTACCTTTTAGCAAATTGGACCAAGATGGTACTTTAAAGAGGTCATTTTTCGATTTTCTCAATAGTTATATAATGCCACGGGAAAAACCACCGAAAAATTACGAAAAACCATTTAAAATCGGATTTTAATTTCTAACGCTTTGTTTATCACCATAGAAACGAATAAAAAATTATAATATTAATTCAACTTACATGATATAATAAATAATAACTATATAAAATATCCAGACTGACAAACCGTCTCCGTTCAGAATCGTTTTTCTTATACAATGATATTATATCATTGAATTCAAGTTTAATACAATCCATTAAACAATGACCAACTTGTAACCTACTGTACAGCTGAGCGACATCCACTTACCTGCCTTTTTTTAAAATTATTGCGATTATTATTTGTATAGCCATTATTATTATATGATAATTGATTAGCAACAAAAGCATTTTGTTCTACCATTTTATTAATGTAGCCATGACGTATCCACTATCCATTTACAAATCCCCATCAAATTTAATGAAAATAATTTACAAGAAATATACAAAATATTACATAATATAACCTTCACCCAATGAACGATAGAATAATATTTTCAATTAAAATTCCACTATGTATCGGTGAAATTTTCAAATTGTATTACATTATACCAATATACGTTCCAATTAATGAACAAGGACAATTTATACATATCGCTGAAAATCCAAGGTAGGTACTTATTAACAGATGATGTGGTGACAAAATATTTTATTTGGTCAAATATCAATAACTGTTTAATAGTTGCCGACATTTTTGTTTGTGGTTTCAATGAAATGTTTCACAATAGTGATACTGATCCCCATGGGCGTCCCCAGGGGGGGGCAAGACGGGGCACTTGCCCTCCCTGGAATAATGTTATTTCCATAGAAATTGGTAAAATTCCAAATGATAAATTAGTTTCTAAAAATAGGTCTACTAAGTTTCCATAACATATTATGTCAATGCACGGCTGACGGCTATCTATGAAAACTATCATTAATAATAATCGGACTATTTTATCTTAATGTATTTTTTGAGTGTTCACATGGCAATAAATTATTAGCTGTTTGCTGTTACATTGTGTATATTATTGGGCAAGGATATGATGGTTGTGCTACAATGGCTGTTAGTAAATTAATTCGTGATAAATATAACAAAGCGTTATTTTTTCATTGTTCTAATCACAGGTTAAATTTAATTATAAATGATTTAAATAAAATAATGATTATTCGTAATACTACTGGAACTATAAAAGATATTATAAGATTTTTCCGTGAAAGTACGCTTAGAACTTAGAAGAAAACTTATCCCTAACATACCACTACGCTGGTCGTCTAAATATAAGAGTAGGTATAAGAGTATTTTCAGAACATTTTATTTCAATAATGACAAGTTTGAAATCATTATCAAATAATGCGAAGTACATTCAAATTCCAATACAAGGCAACGAGCTCATTACTTATATTCGGCGGCCTCAAATTCATCATTCTTAATTTCTATGATTATTATGGCAAAATACAGTGCTATTTTAGAACCTGTGACAAATATGTTACAAGGCGTCTCAGTAGATCTATATAAAGTCAGCGAGCATATTAATTCATTACTAATATTGTTCGATAATCATCGAAATGACGCTGATAACATTTTCCAAACATTATTTAACGAAGCAAAATCAATGGCCATTGACTTAGATATTGTCATTACACATCCAAGAACGGTAAAGAAACAGTCACTAAGAGCGAACTATGAAACTGAGAGTTGTGAAGATTATTACCGAGTTTCAATTTTTATACCATATATTGATTCAATTTTACAATCTATAAAAGAACGTTTTGATAAACAAAATGATAATGCATTTTTACTACAATATCTTCACCCCAAATTTTTTAAAAAAATTGGAGAAAAAATGTATTTTGAAAGCATTGAAAAAATTGCTGATTTCTATAAAATTGATAATCTCCAAGCTGAAGCGGAAAGTTGGTACAGTTTTTGGCAAAATAAGGACTGCCAAGATATTGATTTTATTAATTTGTTAAATTGTAACTGCACGTTTTTTCCAAATATATAGCTGTTGCTTTGGAAATAGTTTTGTCTCTTCCGGCTACAAGCTGTACAGCAGAATGTTCTTTTAGTACATTAAGGCGTGTTAAAACTTGGTTACGATCAACGATGGCCGATGGGTGATGATAGACTGAATGGAATATGCATGTTGAGTGTTCATAGAGAAAAAGTAAATTCAAATAAAGAAAAATTTATTGAAAATGCACTGACACAATTTGGTAGAGAATCTCTACGGAGATTGAAATTTATATTTAATGAAAAAGAATGATCTATAATAATATTTTTTAATGTTTTAATTGTAATAATAATACCTACCTAATTGTAATGTTTTAATTCATAATTTTAATAATGCCGAAATATAATAATTTACTATAAATAAAATGTATAAAAAAATTTTCATTTATTTTTTTAATTAATTTTGTCCCCCCCCCCCTAGAAAAGGGGACGTTCATGCTGATCCCACTTGTGTAACAGAAATATTAAAAAATTCTTTAACTAAACCTACGCAATGTGATACTTTTATCAAGGAATTTAAAAAAAGAATTATGGTACCCATCGTTTTTCAAAAATAATTGGTACTTTATGGGTAAAAAGCCTACAACAATTACAATAGTTTGTTATAATCGATCTTTTATTCGTAAAATTACATTGAAAAGTTCTGGCAAATTATTTCTTAAAGGTGGGTCGTGGGTATCAAGCTCATACTACTAAAGACGTATTAATAACAATGCAAACAGTAGAATCGTCTTTTGCAACACTACCTACCTATTTAGAGTTAAGTATTTTAAATGATTCATGTTGCAATATTACACTTAATCAACGTTATCCAAAACCCATTTATTTAGATGAAATAAAAAATTTAAAATTCGACAAAGAAGCTTTTATAAAAATCATTTCAAAGTTAAATACACAAGATGAATTACTATATTCAATATTATTAAATAAGACGTATGAACAGTGGCGCAAATAGGGGGGGGCTTGGGGGGACTTAGTCCCCCCAAAATTTGTAATAGTCCCCCCAAAAATTTTCAGCACTTTTAAAATTTTTTTGTTCTTGAAAAATAGTAAATACTTATTTACGAAACAATGTATGAAAAATGTTCTTCAGTTGAAGTATTTTCACAAAACAATTTTTTTTATAAAAAAAATACGTCTTGGTTTTTATTTGTATTTATTAGTAGCAACACTGTGATATAACATTTGAACTACCTGACATTATTAGTACTGTAAACCAATCAGTGTATCCAAATCTATATAAACATTTACAACTTGCTATAACAATCCCAGTTAGTTCGTCTACATGCGAGCGATCTTTTAGTACAATGAGAAGGGTCAAGACTTGGCTCAGAACCACCATGGCTGAAGATCGTTTTAGTTCTTTAGCTTTATTAAACATTGAAAGAGATTTATCAAACAAAATTGATTCTGAAGTAATTGTTAATAAATTTGCGGAACAAGACCGAAGGATTGTGCTAAAATAAATTATTTTGTATTGTTTTTAGTTATTAAGTTATGTAAAACATTATTAATAAACTATCAAGTTTTTGTTAGTATTTGTATGAAGTTAATTTAATGAATTTAACACAGTATGATTTTTTATGAAGAAGCCCCTCTGTTATATTTTTGAAAATTTATAAAAATATGTGGGACTTTAGTCCCCCCAAAACAATTGAGCTAGTTGCGCCTATGCGTATGAATTTGTATGTACAAACAAATATATTTAATCATTATAAAAGTTATTATAATATTATACTCGAGTATAAAATTCTGTATGAAAAAAAAAAAATTTCAGCTTTAGAAAATATAAATTTAGGTTATTGTCCTGTGCCCATTGATCCACCGAAACAATAAACTTTACCACTTTATAATCAGGGGCGTCATTTCAACTTTTTTAAAGGTATGCTAACATCAGGGCAGGCCAAAAAAATTTTCAGCAGGCCAATATATATTATTATATACACTATAATAATTAGAAAAAAAATTTTTTCTCGCTCCGCTCGAAAGTTTTATTTTTCATCAATCAAATAATTTCATATAATACCAATATTGTACACCCAATACTACACAGTTAAAACGTAAATTATTTTATTTTCAATATCATTATTTCATATTTATAAACACTAAGGAAAACAAAACAAATTCTGAAATCTTTAATCACACATAAGTTATTTATCTACTATCTACTACGGCGTATGGTCTTATAGGGGATATAGCATAAACCATAAATGATAGATGCCGATACTCGAGACCAATTATATATATAAAAAAAAAAAAAAGGTGGGCAAGTGGATGTCAATCTGCTGTACAGTAGGTTACAAGTAGGTCACTGTATAATGGATGATATTAAATTTGAATTCAACGATATAATAACATTGTACAAGAAAAACGATTCTGAGCGGAGACGGTACGTCAGTCTAGGTATAAGACATATTATATACATATCTATGATATTAAACAAAAAATTGACCTATAATTAGGTACCTATAATAAATTCCAAATTAATCATATCACAATATCCATTAGGTACTTATAAGCGTTATACATCAACAACAAACCGTGATACTATCATAGATATATAATAGTACACTTTAGAAGTTTCAAGTACCCACGAATAATATTATACAATCACAACAAAATAACTAAAATAGTTATTTTAGGTTTTTTAATATGTAATTTTGTCCAAATATGAATTTAAAATGTCTGTAAAAAATAACTGTGCTCATATATTTTTTTAGATTTTTTGGCTACAGTATGAACTATTTATGAGAATCTTTTTTTTAAATTTTCAATCCTTAGCTATAAAAACTGAACATTTTATAATTTATTAATTACGATGATTGATAATTTTCGAGATTTTGATAAATTTTGTCAAAATTCGATCTTTAAATGCTTATAAAAAAAAATTGTGCCAATGTATTTTTAATATTTTTCAATTGCTATTGTAACAATATATCAGGAGCCTTGTATTAATATTTTACACTTTTTGGCCCAACAGATAAAACTTTATTGATATTTATAGAAAAAAAAAACAAAAAAAATTGAAAACTGAAAATGTCCGTAAACGGCTCAAAAAGAGTCAAAATATTTTCAAAATTGTATGGTGTATAGGAAATGCCAATATGAACATTCAGTGAAATTTTCATTTATCTACAGTTATTTGTTTTTGAATTACAACAAAATAAGGAAATCGCTACATGAGAAATCGAGTGAATATCCAATGTTGTAAAAATTTGAATTTCAAACGCTCATAAAAATTTAATTTGACTTTCTTATAGAATTTTTTTTTTTGATTAATGTAGAAAATCTTATAAGGAATCTTGTATTACATTTTCATATCTTAGATTTAAAAAGAAAAATTTTTATGAATTTCTAACTCGAAATAATTTTCAAATTTTCGTGATTTTTCCATATTTTGTCATTTTTTGAACTTTAAATGATTAAAAAAAAAACTGTGACCAACGATTTTTAATATTTTTCATCTGTCTTTGAAACAATATAGTAGGAGCCTTGTATTAAATTTTCAAGTATTTTTACTCAACAAATAAATTTTTATTGATATTCATAAAAAAAAAAACTAATAAAATTAGAAACTGAAAATGTCCCTAAACAGTTAAAAATAAATCAAAATATTTTGAAAATGTTATCGTGTATAGAAAATGCAAATATAAACAACCACTGAAAATTTCATGTATCTACGGTCATTTGTTTTAAAGTTACACCAAAAACCAAAATCGATTTTCTCGAAAACAGATTTTACGTAAAATTTCCCGTTTTCCTTATATTTTCTTTTGTTTTTCCCGGCGCTTTTGAAAACTACTGGGAAATAGCTAAATAGCTAAACTACCCACGATATTCACTTTCCAATCGAACAAGATACTGAAGTTGAAAATCGAAGCATTATTTCGACTACTTATCGTGTACACAGACACAAAAAAAAATTAAAAAATTAAAAAAACACATCATTGTAAAATCAATACATTCATCGGTCCACTCAGAATCTAAAAAGGATAATTTTTGCCCGGCGCAGAAAAATTATAGTCGGGCCAAATTGCATCTTGATAATTATAGGTATGCATAGGCATACCCTGCAATACCCCAAATGACGCCCCTGTTTATAATTTATAATTACATATTAAACATGTAAGTTTAAACCTCTTATACATTTTTTCATACTAATAGTAGTTATACTTTATTTTTTAAGAATACACATTTTATTTTATCTACGCACTTGTTAAAATATAAGTCTTAGGAATTTAAATTATGATTTATGTGTAATTAATATTTAATTTATTTAATATTTCAATATTTGTATAATAATTTATAGTTTATAATTATATAATAAACGATTATAATATGACATTTCGTTCGTAAATCGTAATCATTAAATATTTGTAATTTGTGTACAATACCTACAATAAATGTTATAACATTTGAATTAATTTTGTTATTTTTTTTTTACATAATTATTCCGATTCCATAGTTCATATTTTAATTATTGTAATAATAATTTATTCATTCAAACGATTATAATATAATTATGCTATTGTAACAATAATTACTTATATAAATAAAATCAATTACACAACTTGAATCGCATTAAAAATATTAAGTTGTATAATATCACATAAGGTATTATTTATATGATTTTTAGAATTATAAATAATTACTATAACTATAATTAATGTAGTTAACTTAAATGTGTATTTTAAATAAGGAACCTTGTAAACTTTAAAAAAAATATAATATTTTGTACTACCTGTTTATTAGCACATTTTTTTATAATTTTTTAAATAACATATTTGGGGGCCCTTCTGTATAAATACATCCAAGGCTCTTTAAGTACCAGACCGGCACCGTGTTATAGACTATATTATTGACTGTTGGGTACTTATTACAAATACTATTATAGTAATGTACCTATGACCAGTATGACCTGTGTACTAATGTTTAGTGTTAACCGTTTACGCCAAAACAATTCATAAGTGGTCATAATAGTGGTTTTGTATTCAGAAAAAATGTTTATCTGGCTTTAAATTAAAATTCTCTTGTTTAAATATTATTATTATTTTATTCTTATTAATTTTTTTTTTGTGTAACCATTTATTGTTAATTAATGATTTTTACTGTACTATATATTTTTTATTTTTTGGCTGTTAACTATTTACATTGGTACAAATAATTTTACATCATTATTGTGTCCAAATTATGTTATAAAATAACCTAAACTGTACTTATATTTTTTATAATTGCTAAGGGGTTTAATACCCA